CTGACTAGACTGAGTTGAATGGGGCCTGACTCTAGTCTGTAGGACAGTCTGATGCAGAGTTATGAGCTCACAAAGGTTGACCCAATGTTAAGTCAATGGCAGTCTTTTACAATGGAAGTCTATGGGACAGTTGCTAGGGTGCCAAAAGTGGTTGCTAGGGAGTGGCTAGTAAGTTTAAAGGTCATCAGTTATTGGCTGCTGGCTAGACTGAGTTAAATGAGCCCAGTTAGAAGTCTGTAGGACAGTCTGATGCAGAGTTATGAGGTCACAAAGTTTGACCCAATGTTAAGTCAATGGGAATTTTGGGAATTTTCCGGGTCGTTTTTCGGAAAACCGAAAGTCGGATCAGTTGGAACAGATATAGCAACCCGAGTCAGACCAGTTTGAAGGTTTGACGAAAGTTTGAAGTATGAAGCTTGAAAAGTTTAGGAGGAGATACACTTTAAAATTAGTCTCAGAAGAATAAGAAGAAGAAGAAGAAGAAGAAGAAGAACTAGATTCTGAAAGTTTGAGAACAAACTTTGAGGCTGGCTTGTGAAAGCCTGAGGGTGATAGTTTATTTAAACAGTTTTAAAAAGTATGAAAAGCTAGATAGATAGATAGATAGATAGATAGATAGATAGATAGATAGATAGATAGATAGATAGATAGATAGATTAGCATGTTATTAGCATGATTTTAACGTGAAATAGCATGTTGTTAGCATGATTTTAGCATGAATTAGCATGTTGTTAGCATGATCCTAGTATGAATTAGCATGTTGTTAGCACGATTCTAGCATGAATTAGCATGTTACTAGCACGATTCTAGCATAAATTAGCATGTTGTTAACACGATTCTAGCATGAATTAGCATGTTACTAGCATGATTCTAGCATAAATTAGCATGTTGTTAGCATGATTCTAGCATGAATTAGCATGTTTCTAGCATGTTTCTAGCATGAATTAGCATGTTGTTAGCACGATTCTAGCATGAATTAGCATGTTACTAGCACGATTCTAGCATGAATTAGCATGTTAATAGCACGATTCTAGCATGAATTAGCATGTTGTTAGCATGATTCTAGCATGAATTAGCATGTTGTTAGCACGATTCTAGCATGAATTAGCATGTTACTAGCACGATTCTAGCATGAATTAGCATGTTACTAGCATGATTCTAGCATGAATTAGCATGTTACTAGTACAATTCTAGCATGAATTAGCATGTTACTAGCATGATTCTAGCATGAATTAGCATGTTACTAGCACAATTCTAGCATGAATTAGCATGTTGTTAGCACGATTCTAGCATGAATTAGCATGTTGTTAGCACGATTCTAGCATGAATTAGCATGTTACTAGCATGATTCTAGCATGAATTAGCATGTTACTAGCAAGATTCTAGCATGATTTAGCATGTTACTAGCATGATTCTAGCATAAATTAGCATGTTGTTAGCATGATTCTAGCATGAATTAGCATGTTACTAGCATGTTTCTAGCATGAATTAGCATGTTGTTAGCACGATTCTAGCATAAATTAGCATGTTACTAGCACGATTCTAGCATGAATTAGCATGTTAATAGCACGATTCTAGCATGAATTAGCATGTTGTTAGCATGATTCTAGCATGAATTAGCATGTTGTTAGCAGGATACTAGCATGAATTAGTATGTTACTAGCACGATTCTAGCATGAATTAGCATGTTACTAGCATGATTCTAGCATGAATTAGCATGTTACTAGCATGATTCTAGCATGAATTAGCATGTTACTAGCATGATTCTAGCATAAATTAGCATGTTGTTAGCATGATTCTAGCATGAATTAGCATGTTACTAGCATGATTCTAGCATAAATTAGCATGTTACTAGCATGATTCTAGCATGAATTAGCATGTTACTAGCATGATTCTAGCATGAATTAGCATGTTGTTAGCATGATTTTAGCATGAATTGGCATGTTACTAGCATGATTCTAGCATGAATTAGCATGTTGTTAGCATGATTCTAACATGAATTAGCATGTTACTAGCATGATTCTAGCATGAATTAGCATGTTGTTAGCATGATTCTAGCATGAATTAGCATGTGACTAGCAAGATTCTAGCATGAATTAGCATGTTGTTAGCATGATTCTAGTATAAATTAGCATGTGACTAGCATGATTCTGGCATGAATTAGCATGTGACTAGCATGATTCTAGCATGAATTAGCATGTAACTAGCATGTTTCTAGCATGAATTAGCAAATTGTTAGCATGATGGATAGATGGACGGATAGATGATAGATAGATAGATAGATAGATAGATAGATAGATAGATAGATAGATAGATAGAGGTAGATAGATAGATAGATAGATAGATAGATAGATAGATAGATAGATAGATAGATAGATAGATAGATAGATAGATAGATAGATAGATAGATAGATAGATAGATAGATAGATAGATAGATAGATAGATAGATAGATAGATAGGTAGATAGATAGAGGTAGATAGATAGATAGATAGATAGATAGATAGAGGTACGTAGATAGATAGATAGATAGATAGATAGATAGATAGATAGATAGATAGATAGATAGATAGATAGATAGATAGATAGATAGATAGATAGATAGATGGTGTGCGAGCCTGATTCAAACAAGCCAACCCCCGCCTCTCTACGTTGTTCTGATGCTGAGATATAGCTGCTATTATATCGTTGCTAGGTTAGTCTGTTTTGTTGCTATGGAGTTGATTGACAGCTTAGACTGATGATGTATCAAAGCTTCTTGCCAGTATGAACAGTTAAAAACAACCCCCATGTCTCTATCACACTGCAGCATGACAATATCAGTCTGAACCTCTTTAATGGCAGTCTATGGGACAGTTGCTAGGGTGCAGTATCTGGTTGTTAGGGTGTGGCTAGAAAGTTAAAAGGCCATCAGTGATTGGCTGCTGGCTAGACTGAGTTAAATGAGCTCAGCCATTAGTCTGTAGGACAGTCTGATGCAGAGTTATGAGCTCACAAAGTTTGATCCCATGTAAAGTCAATGAGAGTATTTTGCAATGGAAGTCTATGGGACGGTTTCTAGGGTCCAAAAGTGGTTGCTAGGGCGTGGCCAGAAAGTTTAAAGGTGGTCAGTCATTGGCAGTTTGATAGTCTGAGTTAAATGAGCCCAGTTAGAAGTCTGTGTGACATTCTGATGCGGAGTTATGAGGTCACAAAGTTTGATCCAATGTTACGTCTATGGGATTTTTCCGACGGTCCCGGGACGTTTTTCGGAAAACCGAAAGTCGGATCAGTCGGAAAGGATATAGCAACTCGAGTCAGAATAGTTCGGAGGTCTGACCCGAGTTTGATGGTCATAGCTTGAAAGGCCTAGGACGAGATAGAGTTTAATTTTTAGTCTCAGAAGAAGAATAATAATATTAATAATAATAAGTTTAATAGGATAACAGTAGTCTGGCTTGCTACACAAGCCAGCCTAATAATAATAAGTTTACGTGAGATAACAGTATGTTGGCTTTTCAAGCCACCATAAATATATAAACTAATTTAATTTTAACTAATAAAGCAGTAAAATGGTCTCAGTAAAACTTCACATAAACGTTTCATTAGCCAACATTAACTAATTAATTCATTATTTAATTATGTAACATTAACAGTGACGTATATCAAGCACTACACGGCCTCAGGTATTAATATTAGATCACCGAATGATTATAGCACTCATATAATACGGTACACATTTATGAATTAACATGCTTACCATAATAGTGTCATATAGTAATGTCCAAAAATACCTTAAGTTACCATGGTAATACCACAATACTTTTAGCAGTGATGTTATAATGCCATTGAGACTTCACTGACAGACATACTGTAGACCTGAGGTAAACAATGACTATACAGTTAACGTTAACCCAAATCTGTCATTAGTGCAGGTTCGCTGTTTATTAGCAGCACCTGAGCTGCTTCAGTCAGCCTAGCATCATCATCAGCTCACCTTCTTGTCCCATATCTGCAGGGGTTTGCTGCCGATACTGTAGAGGATGGACAGAAATCCGCTCTGGAATGTATTTTTGAACATAATCCTGCGTCTGCTTTAACATCAAATCACACCATGTACTGTTTACTCGGCTCTGAACGCGTCCGGCTGGATCGCTCGCCTGCAGATCTCGGGTTCCGCCTGACGAACGCTAAACAAATCCACACATCAGACAGTCGTCGTGTGTTAGACTAAAGTGCGTGATATTGAGTTAAATGTGTCGTCTGATGTGATGGATCCTCAGCGGCGACACCGAGCAGGATTTTCCGAGTTTATTTGGGAGTTGCTAAGAGACGTGACGTCGGCTGGTTGTCACGTCGGACCCTTTAATGTTGACACGTCTGTTGCTATAGAAACAGTGACCCCGTTAGCATGGCAAGTCGTCTTATTAAAATGTAAAAGTCGTATATTTATGCTATTAAGTGCTTATTATTTAGGGATTAACCTTAGTACAAGTTTAAAATACATTGGTACTTATTCATTGGATACTAGATGCTCCTATTATTAGATACTGATATCCACTGATTAAATATTGATATCACCTATGTATTACTTACGTTAGTGTTTATTCAGACCGGATTTATTAGGTACGGGTTTAATTAAAATGTTAACGTCCTTATTCTATAAAGTTCAGTAAAACATTGTCATTTAGAACATTTTTCCACCCCAGAAATGTACATTAGGTCAGAATCAGAAATATTTTCATTTATTGTGATTGAAATTCTGAATTATTCAATCAAATATTGAATTTGTAGTTATAATATACTGTATATTGGATGGGTTTAAAAGCATAGCACCTTTTTGTGTTATTTTATGCACAAATTGCTCTAAAAATACCATTTATTTATTATAAAAGATCAGAGAAACATATTTTTTTTTTTATAAAATAGTCATTACTACTACTACTACTACTAATAATAATGATATTAAATAATACAATGTTGCATGGAAAAGGTTCATTATAATACAACCACAAACTTAAATATACTTTAAAATGCATTTTATTTTATTTAAAATAACCTTTCTGACTATATATAACGAAGATGACCATGAAATTTTCATATTACCAAGACGCAACACATCTCTTCTCTGATTGGTGCTTATTAGTATGAGGGCGGAATCAACCTGTCAATCATGTGATCCAACAATAGCAAAGCATCCAATCAAGTCCACATAGACAAAATCAAGCCCCGCCCACAGTAAAAAAAAACAAAAAAACATCGCAACTTATAATACAAACATTCAAAGATTGCAGTTTGTCAATTAAGAGATCAACCATCGAATCAACTACACAGACAAAATCAAGCCCCGCCCACATCAGAAAAAAAGTTTAAAAGGGCCCATGACATTAAAATAAAGATTTTAAATGTTAGTATCAGTGTATATAATACTAATAACACAAACATTCAAAGACTGCAGTTGGTCACTTCCCGCCTAAATGGATCAACAATTTTTTTCATACTTCAGTTTCTCATCAAATGTACAGACCAATCAAATGCTCTCTAGCATCTAACATGCCACGCCCCCTTCTTCTCATTTTCTTTTCATTTGAAGTGCTTGATCTAAACCACTCTCATTGGCAGAGCTGTAATACAAATGCTATTGGCTGTTTTTTAAAGTGGAGGAGCTACACTATGTCCCGCCCTCTCTTCATGTTTCAGTTGAGATTACGTCAAACATCGAATAAAAAAGGAGCCTTTCAAAGTCATTAACCATCAGATTCTGATTGGTGCTTACTAGCATGAGGGCGGAATCAACCTGTCAATCACGTGATCCAACAATAGCAAAGTCCACATAGACAAAATCAAGCCCCGCCCACAGTAAAAAAAAAAAAACATCGCAACTTATAATACAAACATTCAAAGATTGCAGTTTGTCACTTCCCAACTAAATGGATCAACAATTTTTTTCTTGTCGCTTCATTCTTTAGTTTCTTATCAAATCTACTGACCAATCAAATGCTCTCTGGTGTCTGATATGCCCCGCCCCCTTCATCTTGTTTGCTTTTCTTTTGATGTGCTTGATCTAAACCCCTCACTGGCAGAGCTGCGATAAAAAATGCTATTGGCTGTTTTTTAAAGGGGAGGAGCCACCAATAGCAACCATCCAATCAACAGACAAAATCAAGCTCCGCCCACAATAATAATCACAACTTTTATTTCATGCGGAGTTTTAATATGTAAATGGAATCACACACTTGCAAGACAGAGAGAAGCATTAGTTCCACCGAAGCCGAATGAGTTTGTGAGGGCGATTCTCCGTCCGCTGGTTCTCCACTCCTGCGCCGCACAGGGCACGTAATTGAGGTTAAACTCTGGTTCTGTGCGGTCCAGATTGAGCGTCGGCGGCAGAATGGCATGATGGCAGGCGAGGGCGGTGAATGCAGTCTCCAGCGCGCCTGCCGCCCCCAGCAGATGACCAGTTGCTCCTTTAGTGGACGACACAGCCAGAGAAAGCACACTGGGCTCAAACAGCCTCTTGATGGCGGCGTTCTCTGCAGCGTCTCCTAGTGGTGTGGAAGTGGCGTGAGCGTTGATGTACGACACGTCTGAAGGGCTTAATCCTGCGTTGCGGAGAGCGGCAGACATACACCTGAAAACACAGAAGATGATCAGCAGGATTTAACATCAACACTGGAGGAAACTGTTGTGGCCGTAGAAAACTAGACGCTACAAATAATATTTTAATTTGTTAAAGCGGTTACCGAAATGCACCGTCTCCATCCGCAGTGGGTGCAGTAATGTGGCTGGCATCTCCAGAGAGACCGTAACCCATGATCTCAGCGTAGACCCGCGCTCCTCTCCGCTGCGCACGACTGAACTCCTCCAGAACCAGCACCGCTGCTCCTTCTCCCATCACAAACCCTTCTCTGTCCGGGTGAAACGGTCTCGAGGACAGCCTGGGCTCATGGTTCCAGCTAGAGCCAATGCATTCATCAAATTAACATCTGGATGTGCCACTTTTTTTTTTTTCATTAGACAGTAGTTTTGTCATGCTACTAGAATTTAAGAACCAATCGGAACTAAGTTTTAAAAACGTAAATTTCCCGCAAACATTTTAGTAAGTAAAGGTCCAGTGTAGTGCTTTGAAATGTGCATTTTTATTCGATGTTTATTCGACGTAATCCAAACTGAAACATGAAGAGAGGGTGGGTTATAGTGTAGCTCCTATTCTTTAAAAAAAAAACAGCCAATAGCGTTTTGTTTTAGGAGTGGTTGAGCTGAAGCACATCAAACGAAAAGCGTCTTGTAGGGGGCGGGGCTTGTCAGAAACTAGAAAGCATTTGATTGGTCAAAAGATTTGAGTATGAGGTGTCGAACATCTGCCCAGGGCCAGACACAATCTGCAGACTTTTTTTCTTTTGCTATTTCTGCATAGAATTTTGTTTAAAAAAAACAAAAAATAAAACAAAGATATGATGCAGAATGATTATGATCAGCTAAAAACCTAAAAACCTAACACACAAAAATTTTAAAATAACACATAAAAATAGTTTATTTATTTGCATATTTATTTATTTATTGTTATTTTTATGCTAAATATTATTTATTTATTTACTCATTTATTTATTTGCATATTTATTTATTAGTAGTTATATTTATGCAGGAATTTATGCATTGATTTACACATTTATTTATTTGCGCATTTCTTCATTTATTGTTACATTTATGCATGAATTTATGCATTTATTTATTTGCGTATTTATTTATTTATTGTTATATTTATGCAGGAATTTATGCATTTATTTACTCATTTGTTTATTTATTTGCCTATTTATTTATTTATCATTATAATTATGCAGGAATTTATGCATTTATTTACTCATTTATTCAATTGCGTATTTGTTTATTTATTTATTGTTAAATTAATGAAGGAAATTACGCATTTATTTATTCATTTATTCATTTATGTATTTATTATTATATTTATGCAGAAACTTGTGCATTCATTTACTCATTTATTTGTTTATTTGCGTATTTATTTGTCTATAGTTATATTTATGTATAAATGTATACATTTATTTACTCATTTATTTATTTGCGTATTTGTTTATTTATTTATTGTTATATTTCTGCAGAAATTAATTTAGTTACTCATTTATTTATTTTTTATATTTATTTATCTATTTATTTATTGTTTCATTTATGCAGAAATGTATGCATTTATTTACTTATTTAAATATTGATGTATTTATTTATTGTTATATTTATGCAAGAATTTTTGCAAAGGTCCAGCGTTTTGTTTTAGGAGTGGTTGAGCTGAAGCAACTTGAAGCGGGCGGGGCTTGTCAGACACTAGAAAGCATTTGATTGGTCAAAAGATTTGAGTATGAGGTGACGAACATATGCCCAGGGCCAGACACAATCTGCAGACTTTTTTTCTTTTGCTATTTCTGCATAGAATTTTGTAAAAAAAATAAAACAAAAAAATAAAACAAAGATATTATGTGGAATGATTTTGATAGTGTAGGAGCTAAAAACCTGACACACAAAAATTTTAAAATAACACATAAAAATAGTTGTTTATTTATTTGCGTATTTATTTATTGTTAATTTTATGCAAAATATTATTTATTTATTTACTCATTTATTTATTTGCATATTAATTTATTTCTAGTTATATTTATGCAGGAATGTATGCATCGATTTACACATTTATTTATTTGTACATTTATTTATTTATTGTTACATTTTTGCATGAATTTATGCATTTATTTATTTATTTATTTATTGTTATATTTTTGCATGAATTTATGCATTTATTTATTTGCGTATTTATTTATTTATTGTTATATTTATGCAGGAACTTATTCATTTATTTACTCATTTATTTATTTATTTGCGTATTTATTTATTCATTTATTGTTGCATTCATGCAGAAATGTATGCATTTATTTACTCATTTATTTGCCTATTTATTTATTTATCATTATATTTATGCTGGAACTTATGCATTTATTTACTCATTTATTCATTTGCATATTTGTTTATTTATTTGTTTGTTAAATTTATGAAGAAATTAATGAAATTATGCATTTATTTATTCATTTATGTATTTATTTATTATTATATATATGCAGAAACTTGTGCATTCATTTACTCATTTATTTGTTTATTTGCGTATTTATTTATTTATTGTTATATTTATGTAGAAATTTATAGATTTATTTACTCATTTATTTATTTGCGTATTTGTTTATTTATTTATTGTTTTATTTATGCAGAAATTACGTTTTTTAAATGACCAAAATTCCAGTATGGTGACAACACTACTAGACAGTGCTTTTTTACTGAACATACCAAAATCATGACCTAAATCAGTATCGTTGCACCCCTAATTATACTTGCCTAGTGCTTAAAGCCCGAGCACGAGCAAACCCAGCGATGGAGAGTGGACCAATACAGGCCTCCGTCCCGCCGGCGAGCATCACCTCAGCATCACCGTGAGAAATAAACCGTGCAGCATCACCGACAGCATGAGCTCCTGTGGTGCAGGCGGTGGACACGGCATGATTGGGCCCCTTCAGTTTGTGTTTGATGCTGATGTGTCCTGCTGCCATGTTCACCAGTATGCGCGGCACAAAAAACGGGCTGACTTTGCTGTATCCGCGAGTCTGAAAAGCGGAGGCGGTGTTATAAATCTCCTCCAGGGGGACCATACCCATCCCGACTGCAACCCCGGTGCTTTCTTGCTCCTCAGGGCTTCTGGGATACCACCCGCAGTCATTTAGAGCCAGATTAGCAGCTCCGATAGCCATCACTGTAGCCTGGGACATGCTGTTGATTTCCGCTTTGGATGCAAATGATTCTTGGGTGAAATCTCCAGGCTTTTCTCCTCTCGGGACGCGAGCTGCTACTTTACACGGGACGCTTTTATACTCCTCGCCGTTTAAAGCAACCAGTCCGCTTTCTCCACCGATCAGACGCTGCCATGGAAGAGCACTTCCTGTCCCGAGGGGACACACGAGGCCGATGCCGGTGATCACCACACGTCTGGGACTGGAGTGTTTTCTTGCTGAGCAGACCTTGATGATGTTGGATTGAGATATGGAGGAGAGGGATAGAAAATGGCTCTTCTGAAAGCATCTCAGAGACATCGTGAGGAACGAATGCTGAGGCTACATCAGATATTCACTGCAAGAACAAGAAGATCAAATTAATGCGTCATATTAATAAAGTTGCATGATAATTTGTCGATTTAAACCCCAATTTGATCTTGCTTATATCCAGGGCCAGACAGAATCTGCAGACTTTTAAGACTTTTTTTTAATCTGTGGATTTATTTAGAATGATTGTGGGAGTCTTGGAGAAAACCTGATACATACATGTTTGGGGGCAACACAGTGGCTCAGTGGGTAGCACTGTCACCTCAAAGTAAGAAGGTCACTGGTTCGAGCCTCAGCTGGGCCAGTTGGCATTTCAGTGTGGAGGTGTCCCCCACAGGATAAGTTGGCGGTTCATTCCGCTGTGGCGACCCCAGATTAATAAAGGGACTAAGCCGAAAAGAAAATGAATGAATGAATGTGTGTGTGTGTGTGTGTGTGTGTGTGTGTGTGTGTGTGTGTGTGTGTGTGTGTGTGTGTGTGATTGAGTGTGTATGAGTGTTTGCGAGTACTGGGTTGCGGCTGGAAGGGCATCTACTGTGTAAAACATATGCTAGAACAGTTGGCAGTTCATTCCACTGTGGCAACTCCTGATAAATAAAAGGACTCAGCCAAAGGAAAATGAATGAATGAATCTCTTGTTTAATAAACAAAGCTAAAGCAGTACCCTCATATAATAAATTAGACAACTAAAATGCAGAAAATTCAATAATATTACTGAAAAATGGCGAGGCAGTGGCGCAGTAGGTAGTGTTGTCACCTCACAGCAAGAAGGTCGCTGAGTCACTACTTCGAACCTCGGCTCAGTTGGCGTTTGTGTGGAGTTTGCATGTTCTCCCTGCCTTCGCGTGGGTTTCCTCCAGTGCTCCGGTTTCCCCCACAGTCCAAAGACATGCGGTACAGGTGAATTGGGTAGGCTAAATTGTCCGTTGTGTGTGTGGATGTTTCCCAGAGATGGGTTGCTGCTGGAAGGGCATCCGCTGCGTAAAACATATGCTAGAACAATTGGCAGTTCATTGCACTGTGGCGACTCCTGATAAATAAAAGGACTCAGCCGAAGGAAAATGAATGAATGAATGAATGAATCTCTTGTTTAATAAACAAAGCTAAAGCAGTACCCTCATATAATAGACAACTAAAGTTCAATAATATTACTGAAAAATAAAAATTAAACTGATTCAATATATATCGAGACACAATTGCATCAATATATTTAGTGATGTGCTTAAAATCTGTGGAAGTCTGCAGATTTCTGAGGGGACATTCTATGTGGTCACACTTATACCCATTGAGGTAAAGTTGGTTTTATATTAACACATCAAATCTGACTTTATCCTTAACATTATAATTTCAGAAAAGTCTCATTTGCAAAGTAGGAAAATCATATTATCACCCAATGACTATCAAAGTACAACATTGTTCACTTCACATTGCTGTTTTTACATTTAGAGGCAATATTCAAAGTAGCGTGGGAAACACTAAACAATACCCTGCTGAAAAATCCCGCTTTAACCAGCTTAGGCTGGTTGGCTGGTTTTAGCTGGTCGACCAGCCTGGTTTTAGAGGGGTTTTGGCCATTTCCACCCTGGTCTTAGCTGGTCAGGCTAAAAAATGACCAGCCAAATCCAGCTTGATCAGCCTGGTTTAAGCTGGATATAGCTGGTTTTGGCTGGATTCCCAGATTGGCTAGGCTGGCCAAGCTGGTTTTAGCTGGTAATCTCCCAGCCTGACCAGCTAAGACCAGGCTGGAAATGGCTGGAAACCAGCCTGGAAGTGGCCAAAACCCCTCTAAAACCAGCCTGGTCGACAAGCTAAAACCAGCCAACCAGCCTAGGCTGGTTTAAGCTGGATTTTTCAACAGGGTATAGAGACAGTGTCACAAGAAAAATAATTAAAAATAAATTTTAACAAGTTTGTGAATATAAAACCAACTTTACATCAATCTAAATGAATAAATAAGTTATGAGTAGATGCTTTTTAAATGAATTTAATATGAATATTATGCTGTAAGCATGTCACACATTGTCTGTTGTCTCACATTGTCACTAAAAATGTCAACTACCCACATATATTACAAAAAACTATAACTTATATTATACTGAAATATATATATATATATATATATATATATATATATATATATATATATATATATATATTATTCTAATATTTTATTTTACAACAAACTTTAAATAAAATTAATAATAACCTTCAATGATTTCACATTATTAAGCTCAATTTGATTAGTAACGCTACTGTGCGCTGAATATAACAGTTAACGTAATAATAGTTATAATAGTTAACGTAACGTTATATCTACTTAACAAGTCCACATGCTTCATTTACAACAGGTCATCAAAATACGTACTGTTATTCATGGCTCCAGCAGTGGCTAAAGTAAACAGACCAACCAGTCAGATACACAGAAGAGAGACAGACTAACTTCCGGTTTATGGTAGTTTCTATAATAAAAGTCTCTACACTTCGTGCTAAAAGTGTCTAAAACAAACTAAGTTTAGGTTTTATTTTTCCAAGCTAAAATAACCACCAGAAAACGTTTCCGATCTTATGTTAAGATTTATACTTATCGCAAATGCCCTCAAACACAAACTGAAGCGAAAATGACCAACACAAGCTCTGACATGCTTTTTAATTATTTAGTTTTTATCTTGTTGTAGTGATGATTTTGTAACTTTTAGTTTGGTTTTTAATTTACGAGCATTTTTATGTAGTTTTTAAATATTTAGTTGAAGTTTAAGTCAATTTCTCAGACGTAGCATATCATTTTTGGCGTAAACCAAAGCAAAGTTTAATGCTTGCTCAATGTTAGTTAAAGTTGCCCTATTATTTTTAATAACCAATAATAACCCAACACTACAACCTCGCCTCTTTTTGAAATCTCCTCTAGACACACCCCTTACTGCTGATTGGCGGCGGTGTATTTTCAGACTGTCAAATAAGCTCCATCACTCTGTGGTATTTCCCAGATCTTCCGCTACATGTGCTTATTTTAATTCATTTATTTATTTGGGGCAAATTGTTATTTTGTTCGGTTAGTTTTTTAATTAACACTTTCAAATTTTATACACAGTGAATTTTAGTTAATTTAGTAATTTTAATTTTTGCTGAATGTGATGTTCTTGTAGTTTTAGTTTCAGTTTTAGTTTACGGCAATAACCTTTACTGACATCAGTTCAGAGGAAGTGAAACTAACATGATGAGCAGGACAAAACACGTCTAAAACGATCGATCTGTACAAAAATAGCCGTTTAAACACACACCTGATACTGACAGGTAAGTGACAGTACAATATGTAACAGAATGTGATTTATTCATTCATGTGTGTATGTATTAATGTGTGCATGTATGCGTGAATATATGTTTTTATGTGTGTTTATGTATGTATGTGTGTGTGTGTATATATATATATATATATATATATATATATATATAATGCAATATTGGGGCAACGCGGTGGCTCAGTGGTTAGCATTGTGGCCTCACAGGAAAAAGGTTGCTGGTTCGAGTCCGGATGTGTCAGTTGGCATTTCTTTGTGGAGTTTGCATTTTCCACAGTCCAAACAAAGGCCGTAGTGTATGTGTGTGTGAGTAAATGTGTGTATGGGTGTTTCCCAGTACTTTGTTGCGGCTGGAAGGGCATCCGCTGTGTAAAGCATATGCTGGATAAGTTGATGGTTCATTCCACTGTGGTGAGCCCTGATGAATAAAAGGACTAAGCCGAAGGAAAATGAATGAATGAATGAGTGAACATTTAAATGTAATAGCCTAATAATAATAGTAATAATAATATAATTATTATTAATCATAATTTATTTGTTAACAATATGAAAGTATTCGAAAATGTTGCATTTTAATCTGTTTAATTAATCTTACAGAACTTATTTAATCGAAGCAGTTTTCTGTCAAACAACGTCCAGTTTATAGTAAATCTTTTTCTTTAAACATTTCCCCTGTTTTTCTTGAAATTCTTCTGTTGTTTATTTATTTATTTGTTTATTTTTATGGTGTGTGCATCATTTAATTAATTTATTTATTTCTGCCGAAAGAAAATTTAATATTTTGCGATATCAATACAATTTCGCCAGATGACTTAAACATCTGAAATATGTGGAATAGAGTCTGGAAATAATAAATAATTTTAAATATATTGGGTGATTCTGTAGGGTGATGCATCTGTATAAAATGCAATAAACAGTTTACAAGCACAGCTAAATGCATTAAAGCAAAAATACAAATGAAATAAACAGTGTTTTATGGTCCTTCGAGGAATCTAACAGCATTCAGGTATGCAGTAATTAAATAATTAAATGTAAAATAACACTGAAGAGTCTTTGCTGTAATAATAATTCAATAAAATAACATTCTATTAAAGTTAAAAACTGTATAATGTCTGATAAAAATCCTCATGAAACCAAAGTAACCTCGAAAACACATGCAAATAATAAACTATAATCCAGATTCAACGTTGCAAATCCTGTGATGTGTCTATTGCGAATGATCACACAATGCTAAAACAATATATTGTGCAGCACTAATGTATTTATGCATGCGTTCATTTATTTAAATCATTTTCCTTCGGCTTACTCCCTTTATTCGTCAGGGGTTGCCACAGCGGAATGAACCACCAACTATTCCAACATACGTTTTACACAGCGGATGCCCTTCCAGCTGCAACCCAGTACTGGGAAACACCCATAAACACTCATTCACACTGAATTCTTTCTATAGCGCATGTGTTTGGAATGTGGTGGAATCCAGAGCACCCCGAGGAAACCCACACCAACACGGGGAGAACATGCAAACTCCACACAGAAATGCCAACTGATTCGAACCAGCGACCTTCTTGCTGTGAGGGCACAGTGCTAACCACCATGTCACTCCATTTATGCATATATTTTGATTTCTCTTAACAGATATGTCTTCCTCCGGTGGTCCGCTCTCAGTGGAGCTCTCAGTGTGTCTGGATGTGTTCACTGATCCGGTCAGCACTCCATGTGGACACAACCTTTCCAAAAACAGCCAGATCTGTCAATACACTAAAGAAACACTCAACCAAAGACCTGATCTGAAGATCAACACCACACTGAGAGAGATCTCAGATCACTATAAACTGAAGAGTCCTGATGAGGGAGCTGTAGTTGTGTGTGATCTGTGTGAGGACAGAACAGCAGTGAAGTCATGTCTGGTGTGTCAGAGCTCTTACTGTGAAACTCACCTGCAGCCTCATTTAAAGGTGACGGGATTAAAGAAACACAAGCTGATGCATCCTGTGAGTAATCTGGAGGACTACATCTGCCAGACACACCAGAGACCGCTGGAGCTCTTCTGCAGAGATGATCACATGTCTGTGTGTCTCCATTGTGCTGTGACAGACCATAAAACCCACAACACTGTTCTCCTGGAGGATGAGAATCAAAAGATGAAGGTAATCATATCTGCTTTTAAATAGTTCATATAAAGTGGAATCAGTTGTCCATGACAGTGTGAAATAAAAGAGCTCGCATAACAAGTCTGCTGTTCTCTGTCTATAGGCTCAGCTGATGGAGACACAGAGAGATCTGCAGAAGAGGATCCAAGACAGATTTAAGGAGATTCAGGATATCGAACAATCAGCAGAAGCCAGAAGAGTGAGTTTAACATGTTTGTTTTTCATTTGGTTGCCGCCCTGATGCACTCCCAGCTGCAACCCTGTACTGGGAAACACCCATACACACTCATTCACACACACCTATACACTACGGCCAATTCAGTTCATCGATTCCCCTATAGCGCATGTGTTTCTGTGAGGGAAACCGGAGCACACTGAGGAACCCCGCACCAACTTGGAGAGAACATGCAAACTCCACACAGAAATGCCAACTGACCCAGCCGGGACTTGAACCAGAGACTTTCTTACTGTGAGGCCACAGTGCTAACCACTGAGCCACTGTGAATCAATATATGATATAAGAAATAATATGTAGACCTATAAAATGAGTCAGTAAAATCAACAATTGAGAAAGCACTGGCAGCTTATTACAATACAGCATTTTGCACTGTAATTTACAACACCAGTACAAACAGTTTATCACTTCAAACTATTACAAATGTCTATAAAAGTCTCTTTTTTAAAAGGAAACTTTGGGGAAAAGGTCAAGGTTTCACAATGCAACTCAAAAGCATGAATAAATGGGGAACAAATATGGAAAACTACTGATTTATGGATATTTTTTACAGTGTATTGTAGAGTTGACCTGTGCATTACATTGTATTACCAGTAGGTGGCGAGTCACTCTTAGGGCCCTATCATGCACCCGGCGCAATGTGGCGCAAGGCGCAATACTTGTTTGGTAGTTTCAGCTTGGCGCAAGAGTCGCTGTTTAAATAGCAAATGCATTAGCGCTCATATGTGCGCCCATAGGCGTTCTGGTCTATAAAGGAAGGCGTTCTGAGGCGGACCGCTGGCGCGTTGCTATTTTAAGAAACTATAATAGATTTTTCATTAGACCAAAACTAACCCGGTCTAAACTCCAGCACACTGCTTAATACACACAAGAGAGCAACAGGCAAATATCTTTACATATGAAAAAATGTAAATATTAAGGATATATATATAGGATATAATAAGAATAGATATAGGATATAAATATAAAGGATTAAAATATTACAAAACATATTATTTTCTAGCCTACATAAATATGAAAAATCACTGCTGTTATGTCTTCTTCATCTCGGGAGGCTTTTTCAGTTCATTCATAACAACTTGCTTTTGTATAATTGTATAATTATTACTATTAGCTGTATTATTTATTATATCCATATTTATATTTGTTTTATTAAAAACAAGCTTAGATTTGTCCACCTGCAGGTTTTAGAGCATATAGGGCACAGCATGTGTTTAAGGATATAACTCAGTACTTTGACCACACTTTGTTATTATTGTTCATTTATTCGTTTGCTGGAAATTAGAACTGAATTTAGAAATAGTTTTGAAACGAATATTTGGGCTTAACAAACGAAATTAATTATTTATAGGCTAATTGATGTCTGTGCGTAAAGGTTTCCCTATCCAAGAGTGAAAGTGAAAGTGATCCATTATCTCTCATTGTCACGCAGTAGATGCTCTGTTTAACAGTTCTCTGTTAAAAAACTGTCAACTGTTAACTGTTTGCTAGTGAAATGCTAATTTTTTCCACTTAGTCTTACTTTGCGTCCTTTAAATAGCGAATACGCTTATGGCGCGACGCAAGTGACTCTTAAAGGGAATGGGAGATGAGACTCTAATAGGTTTATTCTCAAAACACACCTATAACCTTAAATTAGCAAAAATGAGTCCTGACACGCCCTGAAAGCGTTTGCGCCCTGCATTTTGTGCTCTGCGCATGGACCGTCAAAATAGAGCCCATAAAGTTTAAAGCAGGGGGGTCCAAATGCGTGTCCTGCTGAGTTCAGCTCCAACTTGCTTCAACACACCTGCCTATAAGTTTCTAGTACCTAGTAAGAGCTTGATTAGCTGGTTCAAGTGTGTTTAATTAGGGTTGGAGCTAAACTCTCCAGGACACCGACCCTCCAGGACACCACTGGCTTAAAGGATTATTCAGCCAAAAAAATACCTTTTACTCATTATTTACTCTCCTTTAAGTATTTTCAGACCTTTATGAGAGTCTTTGTTCAGTTGAACACAAAAGAAGATATTTTGAAGAATGCTGAAAACCTGTAACCACTGACTTCCATGGTAGGAAAAACAAATGCTATGGAAGTCAATGGTTACAGGTTTTCATCATGTTTTCTAAAAGTTTTCTTTTTAAAAGAGTAAAGGATGAATAAATGATCACATAATTTTAATTTAGGTGAACAATCCCTTTAAATGACCCATTGATTAATTCTGGAACGATTCTCCATATGTTTGTTATGTTAGTTCCTGCTGAAAAATCCCGCTTAAACCAGCTTAGGCTGGTTGGCTGGTTTTAGCTGGTCGACCAGGCTGGTTTTAGAGGGGTTTTGGCCACTTCCAGGCTGGTTTCCAGCCATTTCCAGCCTGGTCTTAGCTGGTCAGGCTGGAAAATGACTAGCTAAATCCAGCTAAAACCAGCTTGACCAGCCTGGTTTAAGCTGGACATAGCTGGTTTTGGCTGGGCTCCCAGCCTGGCTTGGCTGGTCAAGCTGGATTTAGCTGGTCATCTCCCAGCCTGACCAGCTAAACCAGGCTGGAAATGGCTAAAACCCCTTTTAAACCAGCCTGGTCGACCAGTCAAAACCAGCCAACCAGCCTAGGCTGGTTTAAGCTGATTTTTTCAGTAGGGAGTGCTGTGATGATTGTTAAATTACAGGAATTGCTGTATGAAAGTGATTATTGCAGTTTCTACAGCACGGTTAGTCTAAATATTAAATATCAGCTATAATTAATTAACAATCACAGTAAAAAACGATATTTCAATCAGTAAGACACATGATTTGTGGATTCATTAAGTGCAAAGCTCTCTAAAACAGTGCTGGATGAGTTATAGTTACACTGATTCTCATCTCAGAGAGTTTACACTGACCTGCTGAAACTGATGGAGGATCAGCAGAGAGCAGCAGAGGAACAGGATTCAGAGCGGATGTCAGCGCTGGAGCAGGAGATCTCTGAGCTGGAGAGCAGAAACACTGAGCTGGAGCAGCTCTCACACACTGAAGATCATCTACACCTCATACAGGTCACTCCACACATCTCTGAGCATCACCATCATGCACAATCACACTATAACACACATCTATCCTCTCTCTGCAGATTCACTCTTCACTCAGCAGCTTCAGAAACACCAGGAGCAGGTCTGAGATCAGCAGGAAGACTCGCGAGACTCTGAAGAGAGCTCTGATTAAACTGAAGGAGTCCATAGATGAGAAACTGGAGCAAACTGGTGCGTCAATATCAACTAAAGTTCAATATCAAAAGTCCTCAGCCAAGTTTTGCTAACTGTGCTATTGTGCTGAGAATGCTTAGGGTCCCAAAAAACATGGTATGGTTAGTTCATGGTTGATTTTGGTACCACTCACAACTTCAGACAGTGGAAACTGAATTAATTGTGCGCTGTTTAATAAAAATAAGCTATATATCCACACATTTCCTGATGTTTTCTTGTCATTATTAGTCTCTGCCGATCTGAAGTGGATGCAGCAGTATGCAGGTACAGCGTGTCTCTAGTTAACATTCATATAGTCTCATTACTACTGATTAAACACAGACTTAAAAATCGATGTGTTTTCCCAGTGGACGTGACTCTGGATCCTCATACAGCTCATCCTGAACTCATCCTGTCTGATGATGGAAAGCAAGTGAGCTGTGGAGATATCTGGCAGAAACTACCCAACAAACTAGAGAGATTCAATAGATATCTATCTGTTCTGGGAAGGGAGGGATTCTCCTCGGGGAGGTTTTATTTTGAGGTGCTGGTGAAAGGAAAGACGGACTGGACTTTAGGGGTGGCCAGAGAATCGGTTGACAGAAAAGGAGACATCAGAGTGAGTCCTGAAACTGGAAGCTGGACTGTGGCTCTGATTAATGGGAATGAACTGAGCGCTCGTGCTGATCCTCCAGTCCTTCTGTCTCTGAGAGTGAGTCCGCAGCGGGTCGGTGTGTTTGTGGATTATGAGGAAGGTTTGGTCTGCTTTTATGATGTGGAGTCCAGCTCTCATATCTACTCCTACACTGATCAGTGTTTCAGTGAAAAACTCCATCCATGTTTTAGTCCAGGGTTTAATTTTGAAGGTAAAAACTCAACCCCACTGATCATCACTCATCTCAGTTACAATCACTGAATATAAGCCCTGTTTTTGAATGTTCAGGTATTTGTTTCAGGCATTTATTGGGTAACTTTCACTGAATCTGAATAATGTCTGCTCTGTTTACAGTAATTGCAACATCTCAATAAAGATGGTTGTGTTGGGCGATTAGGGTTTAATTAAATAATAATTATTAATACACTTGAATATTCACAGATTAACCAAAAAGTTCCTTTGTTTTATTCTATATTGGTCTGGTTACATTTCTTTAAACATTTCAAATAAAAAAACATTGTCATTTTTCTCCAGAAAAGCTCTAAATGACAATATAGTTTTTTTTTGTTTTAGTAAAATAATGAATATTTTATCTTTTTTATTTGAATTATTCTTGATTTTATTCAACTACTGATGACATTTCTTCTTAATTTAAAATAACAATGCATAAAACAAAAATAATGTGTCATATTTGTAAGGGTTTTGGGTTGCCATTTGTGCATGTGTTTTACTCATGCTACATGCATATTTAGTTTGTCCCCATTTTGTCCTTGTTGATTGTTCCAGTGACGTTCTCCGCCTACCCTGATACTTATAGTGTATCTAATTCCCTTGTTTCAGTTATTGTTGATTGATGAATGTGTGCTTCAGTTGTTTCGCTAGTTTCTCCCCTTGTCTGCTATGCTCTGTTTTGCTGGATATAATAAACACTTTTTAACTGTATATGCATTATCTTGCCTGTGCTATCTTAAATCTGACAGAATCAGCGCTTACCAGCTTTCTTTAAAATACCTTATTTGTGTTGAACAGAATAAAATTAAATTTTTTAAACACCATTTTAAGAACAAAATGATCATCCTCTTTAAGCTAGATTTTTTTTCAATAGTCTACAGAACAAACCATCATTATACAATAACTTACCTAATTACCCTAACCTGCCTAGTTCACCTAATTAACCCCTAATTAACCTAGTTAAGCCTTTAAATGTCACTTTAAGCTGTATAGAAGTGTCTTAAAGAATATCTAGTCTAATGTTATTTACTGTCATCATGGCAGAGATAAAGTAAATCAGTTATTAGAGATGAGTTATTAACACTATTATGATTAGAAATGTGTTGAGAAACAGAAATTGGAGAACAAAATAACAGGGGGGCGAATAATTCTGACTTTAACTGTAAATATGTATATATATATATATATATATATATATATATATATATAAATTTTTTTTTGTTTTTTTAGGTATGTAGTCTTATTTCTATATTTTTCTTTTTTGTTCCTTTGTTCATTCCTTTAATTTTGGATGTTTGGAATAATTCTGTAATCCAGTTCACTATAAATTATATAGGCATACATATCTAAATTTACATAATCTATGTACTGTACTACATATGATTAATGCGGGCTGCAGACGGGTTTACTTGGCTCCAAGTGGGTGGGACTTAAGCTCCAAGTGGGTGGGCCTTCGAGCTCCATGTGGTCTGTGAGTTTTTATTTATTTTCTTTTCTTTAGTCGTATTTAGAGTTCAATATTGTGTTTTAAGAATGTCTACACCTAACCCTAAACCCAACCTCACAGTAACCTGTTGTGTTTTATTAACGTGTACACCTAAACCCAACCCTAAACCCAACCTCAAGGTAACCTGATGTGTTTAATGTCTACGACTCCACCTACACCACTTAAACCCAACCTACTTGTGAGGCCCTACGCAGCCCGCGTAATCTGAGCGGCGGTTCTGGGCGGAGCTCTACACCTTGTTCAAAGAAAGTGAAACATCTGTTCAACATGGATGCCAGTGATCATTCTATTTAACAACATAACATTTAAACCGTTCTTATGCAGACAGAAAACGTTAGGTTATAGAAAATTACCATCATTAATGAAATGCCGCGGCCATAGCATTTGAACGTTAAATGCAGTTTCATGTCCCGCCGAATTACTTGACGCCTCCATGGTCAATATAACTAAGGTGAGTCCGTTGAGTCCCAATGGAAACCCAGATCTGTTCTTTTGTTTGTGTGTGTGTGTGTGTGTGTGTGTGTGTGTGTGTGTGTGTGTGTGTGTGTGTGTGTGTGTGTGTGTGTGTGTGTGTGTGTGTGTGTGCAGGCCCGGATTGGCTAATCGGGAGGACCGGGAGAATTCCCGGTGGGCCGGTCCGTCTTTTGGCGGCGAGGGCCGGTGTCCCTAGCTCCAGAATCTGTCGCTCTCAGCAGTCACACTTTTTAAAAATAATTTATTTATTTATATGACCACAGTCTTCTTATTCATTATTTTGCCGCAGCTCTGCTCTTTTTATCTATTTTCTCGTAGCCTCGTAAGCAAGATGCAGCCTGCAGGTTAATGATGATATAACTAGATAAGTCACCATTCAAAGGACAGCTGTTGTGGTCCAGTGGTTAGAACGTAAAGTTATGACGCCGCTAACCCGCGTTCGGTCCTCGTCTGAGTGTCATTTTTTTCATTTTTATTGTTAAGACATATAATATTGTAAGGGTTCATGAATATTTGAAGTTCTAAAGCAGCTGTTTTCTCAAAGAAAGACATGATAGTGTAATTTGAAACTGAATTGGAAATGACCTTATTTTAATATAACTTAGTCAGTGGTGAACTGCGGTGGGCCGGTCTGAGGCTTGAAATTCCAGGGCTGAAAAAGAGTCCCACTCCGGCCCTGTGTTTGTGTGTGTGTGTGTGTGAATCGCTTTGGATAAAAGTGGTTACTAAATGCTTAAATATAGTCTTATTTCGTAGGGTTTAGGAGGCGTAGCTGAAATCGAGTTAAGTGAGGCATATTCTTATGGTACATCCAGTTGTTCACATCTTCTCAAATTTGGGTACTACGAATAAATCATTATTAGGTAAATCCACATATCACACTTGCATATGACAAAGTTATTAAATTAAATTATCAAAGAGGTCCTGCAGAGTCTCAGTAATTCTAAAGCTGCAGGAAAGTAGCACTCAAGCATATTACCAGGGGTGAATTCAACCATTAAGTAAGTGACCGCTTAGGGCCCCAGGACATCTGATTTCCCCAGGACATCCCCAGTAAATATCTAGAAGTTTGAATTATACCTACAAAATAAATATAACATCGTTTTCTATCATATTTTGTATATGAAAGTCTAACAAGTGCAATTTTTACATCAAGTATTATTTATTATACAATAAAACAATATTATAATAATGTAATGTTATGTAATTATAATATAAATGAATTATAATTAAAATAATACATCCACCACTGGAGGAGTCCAGCAATCAAAAAAAAATATATATATATATATAAATATATATATATATATATATATATATATATATATATATATATATATATATATATAGTAAATTCGTTTTAAGAAAACTAATAATTTAAAATGTATAGCATTTGTTTTGTATATTGTATAAATGTATCGTATTGTATAAATGTATAGCATTTATAATGTATTATGCATTAAGATAAAACATAGAAAAGAAGATTGTGTGACATAAAAAAACAACAAAATAAATAAAATTAAATAAAAGTTGAAAGAGTGCATTTCAGGACCTGGGCCCTTTGCCTAGAGTTGCTTAGGGCCCCCAAATCACTAAATCCACCTCTGCATATTACATACAGTACACTGCATCAATGTGTTAAATTGTAATTGTTTATGCTCCCCTCACATCATGTGATTTGCCCTAATAAGTCAATTTAATTTTGATTTTTAAAAACATTCATGTTACTCTCTCACTAATTTAGACTATACTATTGCAACTACAGAGTTGATTGCCTATAATTGATATTGTTTTTTTGTCCATGCAGAGGCTTGAGGAGGGGAAGAATAATGGCAGAATCATCACAGAAAGGAAGACAAATCAGGAGAAAGAGTTTGGACTTTCCTCCAGGTATGCCAATTACTCAGGAAAAAAAACAAATTGTGCCTTAATGATTTTTTTTGGAAGTAATAATAGATTTTTTAATAGGTTAGTAAATTAAATGAAGAATCAGTAATAACATAAAAATGCAAAGATTTTGATTCTGTGTAACCCAAACTAGTGCTAGATTTAATACACGTTGCACCACGGTAGATTTGACAACACTCCTCTATTTTTGTAAACTTATATTGCTCACCTTGAATTAGTTCACTTTACAAAATGACCAGCTGACTGTTACCATATACTAATATAATAAAATAACTTTGATCATTTAAATGGGAGCTATTGTGTCTGAACATTTTTAAAAATAGTTTACAGTAAGTGATTTTTGTTCATTATTTCTCTTTTCAGATATGTCTTCCTCTGGGGGTCCACTTAGTGAGGAGCTCCAGTGTTCTGTTTGTCTGGAGGTGTTCACTGATCCGGTCACCACTCCATGTGGACACAACTTCTGCAAAACCTGCCTGAATAAATGCTGGAATGACAGCGAGACCTGCAGCTGTCCATACTGTAAAGAAACACTCAACCAAAGACCTGATCTGAAGATCAACACCACACTGAGAGAGATCTCAGATCGCTATAAACAGAAGAGTCCTGATGGAGGAGCTGTAGTGGCGTGTGATCTGTGTGAGGACAGAACAGCAGTGAAGTCATGTCTGGTGTGTCAGAGCTCTTACTGTGAAACTCACCTGCAGCCTCATTTAAAAGAAGCAGCTTTGAAGAAGCACATGCTGATGGATCCTGTGAGTAATCTGGAGGACTATATCTGTCAGACACACCAGAGACCGCTGGAGCTCTTCTGCAGAGATGATCAGACGTGTGTGTGTCTAGAGTGTGTTGTGACAGACCATAAAACACACAACACTGTTCCTCTAGAAATGGAGAGCAAAGAAAAGAAAGTAATCAAAATAGTCTTTTATAGTTTATTATAAACTATAATATACTAATAAACTGTATCATAAACTTTTATTATTTATTTTATATGTTTTGTTGAGTAGAGTAAAAATAAAAGAGGTCACATGGTAAGTCTGTTGTTCTTTATCTATAGGCTCAGCTGATGAAGACACAGAGAGACATGCAGAAGATGATCCAAGATATAAACAAAGAGATTGAGGACATCAAACACTCAGCAGAAGCCAGAAGAGTGAGTTAACATGTTTATTATTCATCAATTATTTGCAGTCTTTTACAGTTGGTCTGTGCATTACATTGTTATGCCAATAGGTGGTGACAAAAGATTTTATAAAATTAACATGTGAATAATATCAGTTCTGCTGTCATAAATTCTGATTTTAATGTTGTACGATTAGAATATTTTCATGCCATGCTCAGTGTGTAGTGTACTCTCCTTAACGTCCAAATTCATATAAAGGATTTACTGATTCCCAACCTTGGGAGTAGGGTTGAAACAATATACCGGTATGAGGGTCTACCACGATTTGAACGTGCACGATTATCATACCATGAACAATTGCATATCAACGGTTTTAACCCTTAAAGACCGAGACAGCCGCCCGCGGCTAAAAATAAGTATTGCTCTTAAATGTTTAATAACTTTTGATCCGCTGATCCGATTCATACAATTCAAAGATTGGCATAATGAAGAGAATCTCAGCTTTCCAGTGCTGTATCACATAACATTCGCGGACTTTCTTTTTTTTTTTATTATAATTTTGAAACATTACATAAAGTAAAAACACAACAATTGAGATATATATTATATCCATAAACATTACTATAGTTACAAGAATCAAAAGTAATGAAGTAATATATAACAGGAGAAAAAAAAATGTATAAAAAGTTGCAAAAGAAAAAATAAATAAATAAAAAATTAATAAATAAGATAAAAAAAAATATTACAAAATACTTCTATACATATAAACTAAAATAATAACTTAGGATACACTCAGCGACTACAGCGGGGGATCAGAACTAGAAAAAAATTCTTTCACGAAAACTAACATTAAATCATTCTTTTTGTTCTTAATTTGCATTAGAGACTTTTTCAGATTTTCCATTTCTAATAAAGAAATATTACATTTTGGTACACATTTCGCAAATTTCTGTTTATGTATAAAATATTTACCTTGTAAAATGTAGACGTTAACAACATACTCGAATGTTCTTTTTGTGTGTGAAAAAGTGCAAATCACATCCTTTAAAGATAGCCTGTAATTAACATTTCTTTGCCCAAATAACACGTCACTAACATCATTCCAAAATTTACGAGAGGCCATTCGCGGACTTTCAGAGGCTCCGGAATCAGTGCGGTTACGTCATCAAAATTTGACAACGCTGATTTGACAAAGAAACACTCGTCACTGTGTCTCCGGACAAACCAGACATGATACATTGATGCATTGTCCCTCCTCCATGCCCAGATTGGTTCAAACTCGCTATATCACAACCAATAAGCATAGGTTTCACTTTTGTTTGTGGACCAACATGAGCTTTTTGAACAACACAGAATGAGAGATAGGCATACATTTATGCGTGGCTAAATAAAACGCAAAAAAAAAGTTTTGCATGAAATAATTCTCATACTAAGTACTTTTGCATGCACAGCAGCACAGAAACATGACAAAACAGTGACACAGCAAAGACGAACTGCTGCTCTTGCTGTTTTCAAAAGACACAAATGAAGGTTCAGCTGTTTGTCTGCATTGCAGACAACCACATCCAAATCCATATCCACAGACAACCATATCCATGCTGGCACATAAAACCTAAGGATGTTCCATATTGAATCTAGCTTCGTTATGTAACTATTTATAGTATAGTAAATATTTATATCTATTTTTTTACTGAGGATTTGCACCATGTTTATTTGGACTTTATTTGGACTTTGACACATTATTTATTATTTTCTTATTTTTATTTGTTCATTGTAAGTGGTGTTGTTTATAGTAACTAAAAATATATTTTTTGGAAAAAGTCAAATTTGCTTCACTGTTCTATTATTTTGTAACATTTGTAACATACCGTATACCGCGAAACCGTCAAACCGTGGTATTGTTTTAGACGATTATCATACCGTAAAAAATTCATACCGTTACAACCCTACTTGGGAGCTATGGACATGATTGAGGCGAACCATGTCACTTTCTTCATCCCTTTGTGAAGTAAAAGCACTGCTTTTCAAAACAAGACACTTGATTTGAGGAATCGTTCAGCACAAATGTTCCAGGAAGACGTTTAATATGTTTGAAAACCCTGTAAACTATGGATGTATAGCCAGCAGTAATGCTGATTCTTTTCTCAGAGAGCTTCCACTGAAGTGCTGGAGTTGATGGAGGAACAGGATTCAGAGCGGATGTCAGCGCTGGAGCAGGAGATCTCTGAGCTGGAGAGCAGAAACACTGAGCTGGAGCAGCTCTCACACACTGAAGATCATCTACACCTCATACAGGTCACTCCACACATCTCTGAGCATCACGATCATGCGCAATCACACTATAACACACATCTATCCTCTCTCTGCAGATTCACTCTTCACTCAGCAGCTTCAGAAACACCAGGAGCAGGTCTGAGATCAGCTGGAAGACTCACGAGACTCTAAAGAGAGCTCTGATTAAACTGAAGGAGTCCATAGATGAGAAACTCGAGCAAACTGGTGCGTCAATATCAAATGTCATCTTTTAACACTAGTGATGAAGTAAAGAGTGATTAATCTGAAACGTGATCATGTGTTTGTGTCTCATCATCACTACATGATTGCATGATTCTTCAGTGTTTCCTCCAGGATTTTTTCCAGCTGTGGCTGCAGATTCTGTTGGGCCTTTTACACAGATCTACCAACTATCTATGCCAGGGATGGCCAACCCTGTTCATGGAGAGCCACCTTTCTGCAGATTTCAGTTGCTACCCATATCAAACACACCTGAACCAATTAATTAGGACCTGAACACTGTGTGATAATTACAGGCAGGTGTGTTTGATATGGGTTGCAACTGAAATCTGCAGGAAGGTGGCTCTCCAGGAACAGGGTTGGCCACCCCCGACCTATGCTATTATTTCATTGACAAGTGTTGTGAGCACAGTTTTACATGTCGAGATCGCATTTATGTAATACAAGCATGCCCGTGCAGAGACTGTTCAAGGGGCACGTGCAGGATGAAATATTTGAAGAGTGGGGGGGAGGTGGTTGTGTTGGATCACGGGGGCACTTTTGATCATTTTGGAAGGGCACTTTCTATCCAAGACTAAAAAGGGCACAGGTTGAGCCCTATGTGTGCACGTCCCTGAATACAAGCATGCAAGTCTCTTTGCTATCGCACCGATTTCCTCTGTACGTGCACAAAACCTCTTGCACGCCTTCAAATATACGCTGCTCAAGCACAGATATTCTTGTGCGCTCTCAAATAAACACTGCTGAAGTGTGATTTACTGCATTTATGTATTGAGTATGTCTTCAACATTTATTAGATTGGCTATGAATTGGCAGTGGTTAGCACTAGGGTTGTAACAATATACCGGTATGACGGTCTACCACGATTTGAACGTGCACGATTATCATACCATGAACAATTGCATATCAACGGTTTTAACCCTTAAAGACCGAGACAGCCGCCCGCGGCTAAAAATAAGTATTGCTTTTAAATGTTTAATAACTTTTGATCCGCTGATCCGATTCATACAATTCAAAGATTGGCATAAAGAAGAGAATCTCAGCTTTCTAGTGCTGTATCACATAACATTCGCGGCTCCGGAATCAGTGCGGTTACGTCATCAAAATTTGACAACGCTGATTTGACAAAGAAACGCTCGTCACTGTGTCTCCGGACAAACCAGACATGATACATTGATGCATTGTCCCTCCTCCATGCCCAGATTGGTTCAAACTCGCTATATCACAACCAATAAGCATAGGTTTCACTTTTGTTTGTGGACCAACATGAGCTTTTTGAACAACACAGAATGAGAGATAGGCATACATTTATGCGTGGCTAAATAAAACGCAAAAAAAAAAGTTTTGCATGAAATAATTCTCATACTAAGTACTTTTGCATGCACAGCAGCACAGAAACATGACAAAACAGTGACACAGCAAAGACGAACTGCTGCTCTTGCTGTTTTCAAAAGACGCAAATGAAGATGCAGCTGTTTGTCTGCATTGCAGACAACCATATCCATGCTGGCACATAAAACCTAAGGATGTTCCATATTGAATCTAGTTTCGTTATGTAACTATTTATAGTATAGTAAATATTTATATCTATTTTTTTACTGAGGATTTGCACCATGTTTATTTGGACTTTATTTGGACTTTGACACATTATTTATTATTTTCTTATTTTTTTATTTGTTCATTGTAAGTGGTGTTGTTTATAGTAACTGAAAATATATTATTTGGAAAAAGTCAAATTTGCTTCACTGTTCTATTATTTTGTAACATTTGTAACATACCGTATACCGCGAAACCGTTAAACCGTGGTATTGTTTTAGACGATTATCATACCGTAAAAAATTCATACCGTTACAACCCTAGTTAGCACTATTGCCTTATTGCAAGAAGGTTGCTGGATCTAAGTGAAATCAAGTAACAAGTTATATTTTTGATTAAAACTTTAAGGCATGTTTTCTTGTCATTATTAGCCTCTGAAGAGCTGAAGTGGATGCAGCAGTATGCAGGTACAGTGTTTACATTCATATATTCTCATTACTGCTGTATAAAATATATGATTAAAACCAGGATTTAAGCTTTAAACATAATCATCACAATATCTCAGTATGTTGAAGTAATGTTTCATGTTGTGTGTTTTCTCAGTGGATGTGACTCTGGATCCTGATAAAGGTCATAGTGACCTCAAACTTTCTGATGATGGAAAACAAGTACGATTTAGAGACATTTTGCCGAATTATTCATCCAAACCACAGAGATTTGACAGAAATTTATTTGTTTTGGGAAGGGAGGGATTCTCCTCGGGGAGATTTTATTTTGAGGTGCTGGTGAAGGAAAAGACGGACTGGACTTTAGGAGTGGCCAGAGAATCCACTGACAGGAATAAAGAGATTACAGTGAGTCCCCGAACTGGATGCTGGACTGTGGCTCTGATTAATGGAAATGATTATCGTGCCTGCAATGATCCTCCAGTCTCTCTGTCTCTGAGAGTGACTCCGCAGCGGGTCGGTGTGTTTGTGGATCATGAGGAAGGTTTGGTGTGCTTTTATGAAGTGGAGACCAGCTGTCATATTTATTCTTTTACTGGTGAGTCTTTTCATGACACCCTCTATCCGTTTTTTAGTCCAGGCCCTAATCCATGTGGTAAAAATTCAGCTCCGTTGATTATCACACCTGTTGATTAGTCATTGAACTCAAACCCCCAAATTAGGCCTGAGTCGGGAATGAAGTTTTTTTTTTACAAATGAGAATGTAGCGAAGCTTAACATTTAAAGAGCCCCTATTTTGCATTATAAAAGGTCATACTTTGGTTTTGGGCGTCTGAGAGATACAGTGCAAGCACTGAGCTATAATAAATACAGGATTACAAGCCTCGCGGGGGGATTACAACTTAAAACACACAAATAAACACATATTTTGCAAACTACACAAAATGAGGCAACACTTTTAATGACACTTATATGTTCTGATCCGAAGGAAGAAGAAACTGGTCCATATGAACTGTAACAGTTACAAAGTCCAGGTCAAAGTCTAATACATAATAGTCTCTGCTGCTCCTCTAATAGCAAACGGACGACAAGTCGACTCTTTCATTTAAGAATCAATCGTTTTAATCATGGTGCACTTTTACACACTTTGTTACACACTGCATGGAAGCTCATTTTCAAAAACCCTAATAGGGTCTCTTTAGGGCTTGTGAAAGAAGCTTTCACCTTTAAAAATGTCCATAATGTTTTGCCTCATTTTGGTCAAAATAAATGAATCAAAGTGAAACTACAACATACCAGTACATTGCGTGATAAACTAGTTTACAATACTTATTTATTTTTGGTCACACAGAATATGACAAACTGTGAACATTTCACTTTTATTTAACAAAACGGTTTTGTGTTCTGGTTTTTGATTTGGCCGCGGAAGCATGGCTTTTTCTTGAATGCACTCACGCATGTCACCTCAAATGTTTGTTTTTTTAATTTATTTTAAAGATAACTGAGCAACAAAAATACATAAACATTAAGATATAAGTTATGACTAATGTAATTCATTTCAAATAAAGGGATATTTCCAACAAAAACATATGAAGTGGTCAAAAATGATCAACCTTGGTGGTATGGAGGTCGACCATCACTAATGTTACTGTGTTTAACATCCACTGGTATTCACATGCATTTTAGGATAGCTGGCATTATACTTAACCTATTGGGTATGTGTGGAAGTATGTGGAAGGACTTTAAAACATTTTTTCACTGGTAAACTGTATGCCATTGCAAAATGAGCACGTTTAAGATCTGTTTCTTTAATAATCAGCGATCTTCACTGCCTGATTGATATCCAATATAAAGTGGATCTCAGTTTGTACAAAAAGCACTGCATTAAATGACATTTTCTGCATTAAATGACATTGGAGCTTCTGCACTAGCCTGCCGATCCTGGTGGGCATGTGCAAGTAAACATCTTTTTGTCTCGTTTTACGCTTGAACAACTAAATGAACCTGGAAGTTTATTTAACTGATTGTATTTTAACTACTTTACAACATCCATGCTGTAAAAACAACCTTGTGAAATTGAAAAAAGTCACATTAACCGTTTACCAGAAGGTTATCAGTATGGGAAGAAACACTAGCTGTGCGTATACCCAATTTACTATGGAGCGCAAATAATTTAAGTCATTAACTTTGGATAGAAATTGTCTAATATTAATACCCTGCATATTTACACAAACATCACTTGTTGCACTCATAGAGATTGTTCTCATGGTCTCCTGAGTTTGTTCTTCTGAGGTGACCTGGCAAAACCGATCTCCACAAGAATGCAAGTCTATTCTCTGCTTTTTTTGGATTTAAAAAAACAGCCCATGTTTTAATCCTCGATTAGTCTCACGCAATCATGTGATGCGATTTCGCAGGTCAGAGTTCACCAAGCTTGAAATTTGCAATGCAGCGAACTGCGAAAACTTGTCGCACGAGTTTCCAATTTGCCGCATTCACATGCGTATTTATGGAAGTCTATGGGGAGAAAAGTCCAATGTGACCACAGCTTTAAACGCCTTGATTATTTGGATCAGCTGTGTTAGAATAGGGTTGAAGCAAAGCTGTGCAGAACTGCGATCCTCCAGGAATTGAGTTTGAGACCTTTGTTTTAAGGGGAGATGCTCCATGTTGAGACTGTGATAAGCCACATAGCCTGTCTGTCTTCATCTTTTATTAAATTAAGCTTTGTAAAACAGTCAGTGTAAATAACACAGTTGAGATGACTACTGTAACTATGTGGCTTTCTGGAAAGCGCTGGGATCCATACAGGTGGATGCCACACAGTGTCAAATTCAGCACTGGTTTTAGACATATTGAGGTAATTTTACACTGTTCTCATCTGAAACGAAAACTGAATGCATGTGTAGTAAATACACAAAAACACTTGTAAATAAAGCGCTGAAATAAAGACAGTTTCTATAAAGACATTTTTGAAAGTGGTCCTCATGTTTGTGTCATAATGGCTCAACAAGTAAAACTGATGCTCCGATTCACTGAGCTTGATTTTCAATGAGTCTAGGCTTAAAAGCAAATACAAGCTAATACATTAAAAATGCAAAAGAACAAATAAAGATGTAAGGAAAGAAAGTAACAAATGCATACGGATAGATAGACACCACGTAAAAAGGATAAACAAGCATTAAGACAAGCAACAATATCTAAAAACCTGGGGCCTGTTTCAGAAAGGAGGTTAAGTGAAAACTCAGAGTATTTTAACCCTGAAATGAGAGAAACTCTGGGTTTTCCGTTTCAAAATGGCAGGTTTGTTAAACTCCAGAAATCAGGGTAAGTCAAGCCTGTTTCTGAAAGAGAGGTAACTTTAACTCAGAGTCAGTTACTGTGGTAACTTACTCTGTGAATCTAACCTGGTCAGAAGCAGGTTTTATTCTCTAAACTCAGAGTTTCTGTCGGTCTCCTCCCCTTTTTTAAGATGAAGCGGTATTTCTCGCCTTAGCCTTACGTTTCCACACACCTATTTTAATGCTCATTTTGGATACGTGCATAAAAACGATTGATAGAAACGTCATGATGCACATAACGTTTTAAAATATGCATAAAAAACGCGCATAACTGAGTAGGATAAACTTTTATTCGATAGAAAATGTGCGCATAAACTACGATGGAAACACTTTTACTGAACAAATTACAGTACATTAAAAAAAGATCATGATCATATGATAATGAAAATGTGTGTAAATGGAGGCTGAACACACTGTAACACGTCTTAAATATTGTTTTAGTCATTCTAAAGTGCCTTAACTGTTTCAGTATTAGTGTATATTATTAATTACCTCCGAGCCTCTGGTGCGTGTCAAGAGTCTCCGCGTCTCATGGCTTCAGACGCCCCCACGTGTTCATTGTGTTTCAGTCTTCTGACATCGAGGCGCAAGTACATTAATTAGGCTAAATAAAGAATTAATTGACGCAGCTTCTTCTACCACAGTAAATTCTGTTTTTACTGTTGATATTTGGTGCCAGTTAAATCAGGAAGTGACAATTTTTTTCTCTTTCACTCGTTGGATGGAATTTTATTCGCATCTTTTATGCAATATTCCAGTTTTGCACATAAATTTATGTAATATATTTGGATGGAAACATAGCTATTGCCTACATTTTAGTCACACACAGAAGAACTGTACTAGAATGGCTTATGCTTTTTTAATAAATAATTAAATTAAATTCACCTTCGACATGCATGTAACTAGATTAATGGGATTATTATTCTTTCTAAAAATTATTTTTAGTACTGCTTACCTTTTAAATGTTATATTAACCTCTATCACTTGATCAATAAAAAAGGCAGACACACAAGTGCACCGTTAAATCATTTAAAACTAATAAATGTATAAAAGAAAGTTTAGAAAAAAAATATATTAACGTCACAAATTACATTACTTATTTTATTATACTTAAATATTTAAATAGGCCTACTTAAAAAGTTAAATTAGGCATTATCTTGAGCAGCTGTTTTCCCACGCTAACTGGTTGATGGCTGCTTCTTTTCAAATATATACACTCATATTTGCTATAACGTTGCATGAGAACATCAAGTTCAGCTGGAGAAAGAAATGCTGATCTCTTTTATAAGATGTTGCCATAGTCACTCGTAATGTCTACGCTCTATTGATAATGCCTTTTTATAGTCACGGTGCGCGCGCTAAACTCTGAGTTGTTTGAACCTCCTTACTGAAACAGGCCCCAGGTCTCCTCTAGTTAAATGCAAAACAGGCGGGGACTCCAGTCTGAAAAGTTGTTAATGGACTTGTAAACATTTTGCAACTATATATATATATATATATGTGTGTGTGTGTGTGATGATTGTTAAAGCAAAAGAGAACTGTGCTTATATTCAGTATCAGGCAAATCAAATCATTACAACTTTAATGTGTAATTGTACACAGTTTCTACATTTAAGTTATTGTATTGCATGAGCAAAAGAATAATGATGGAAGGGATGATGTGTCATTTACTTCTGCTTTTAGGTCCAAACAAACTTTGATTTAACTTAAAAACACACTTTTTACACAGTGCTGTATTACTTTCCTCCTACTCGGACTTTTTCGCCGTGCACTCGTGTCTAGTCTTTTGGTACAATCCAGGAAAACAGGAGGAACTGAAGGCGGAGTCTGCAAACTTTAACCCACCGCAGAGTTGCAGGAATGTCCGCTTTATTTGTTATCCTGTACCTCCTACCAGCAGGAGGGAGGACCATAGTCTGGGGAGGACCCGCGGAGCAGCACCTGCAGCAGACACTCATCTCCACTTCACATGCACGCGCTTATGTCCCTGTGCTCGCAGATCCGCGTGTGTTTAGTTTGTGTTTAGTCTTTCCGCGGTGATGTCTGAGAGCTCGTGTGTCTCCGGGGCCCCGCAGCGCCTGGTGCCTCTGGCGCTCCGCGGAGAGTGGATGGCGCTGGAGCAGAAGATCAAGACTTTAGAGAGAGGAGATCCGGACATACTTCAGTGCGATGAGGTGAGAGATGCGCGAAAGACACAGGGCTGTTGCAAGCCAACGCTGGGTCAAATACTGGCAATAATAGGGTTGTTTTAATTTAATGCTGGGTCAAATGCTGGCAAATATAGGGTTGTTTTAATTTAATGCTGGGTCAAATGCTGGCAATAATAGGGTTGTTTTAATTTAATGCTGGGTCAAATGCTGGCAAATATAGGGTTGTTTTAATTTAATGCTGGGTCAAATGCTGGCAAATATAGGGTTGTTTTAATTTAATGCTGGGTCAAATGCTGGCAAATATAGGGTTGTTTTAATTTAATGCTGGGTCAAATGCTGGCAAATATAGGGTTGTTTTAATTTAATGCTGGGTCAAATGCTGGCAAATATAGGGTTGTTTTAATTTAATGCTGGGTCATGGCAATAATAGGGTTGTTTTAATTTAATGCTGGGTCAAATGCTGGCAAATATAGGGTTGTTTTAATTTAATGCTGGGTCATGGCAATAATAGGGTTGTTTTAATTTAATGCTGGGTCAAATGCTGGCAAATATAGGGTTGTTTTAATTTAATGCTGGGTCATGGCAATAATAGGGTTGTTTTAATTTAATGCTGGGTCAAATGCTGGCAAATATAGGGTTGTTTTAATTTAATGCTGGGTCATGGCAAATATAGGGTTGTTTTAATTTAATGCTGGGTCATGGCAAATATAGGGTTGTTTTAATTTAATGTTGGGTCAAATGCTGGCAAATATAGGGTTGTTTTAATTTAATGCTGGGTCAAATGCTGGCAAATATAGGGTTGTTTTAATTTAATGCTGGGTCATGGCAAATATAGGGTTGTTTTAATTTAATGTTGGGTCAAATGCTGGCAAATATAGGGTTGTTTTAATTTAATGCTGGGTCAAATGCTGGCAAATATAGGGTTGTTTTAATTTAATGCTGGGTCAAATGCTGGCAAATATAGGGTTGTTTTAATTTAATGCTGGGTCATGGCAAATATAGGGTTGTTTTAATTTAATGCTGGGTCAAATGCTGGCAAATATAGGGTTGTTTTAATTTAATGCTGGGTCATGGCAAATATAGGGTTGTTTTAATTTAATGCTGGGTCAAATGCTGGCAAATATAGGGTTGTTTTAATTTAATGCTGGGTCAAATGCTGGCAAATATAGGGTTGTTTTAATTTAATGCTGGGTCATGGCAAATATAGGGTTGTTTTAATTTAATGCTGGGTCAAATGCTGGCAAATATAGGGTTGTTTTAATTTAATGCTGGGTCATGGCAAATATAGGGTTGTTTTAATTTAATGCTGGGTCAAATGCTGGCAAATATAGGGTTGTTTTAATTTAATGCTGGGTCATGGCAAATATAGGGTTGTTTTAATTTAATGCTGGGTCAAATGCTGGCAAATATAGGGTTGTTTTAATTTAATGCTGGGTCATGGCAAATATAGGGTTGTTTTAATTTAATGCTGGGTCAAATGCTGGCAAATATAGGGTTGTTTTAATTTAATGCTGGGTCATGGCAAATATAGGGTTGTTTTAATTTAATGCTGGGTCAAATGCTGGCAAATATAGGGTTGTTTTAATTTAATGCTGGGTCAAATGCTGGCAAATATAGGGTTGTTTTAATTTAATGCTGGGTCATGGCAAATATAGGGTTGTTTTAATTTAATGCTGGGTCAAATGCTGGCAAATATAGGGTTGTTTTAATTTAATGCTGGGTCATGGCAAATATAGGGTTGTTTTAATTTAATGCTGGGTCAAATGCTGGCAAATATAGGGTTGTTTTAATTTAATGCTGGGTCATGGCAAATATAGGGTTGTTTTAATTTAATGCTGGGTCAAATGCTGGCAAATATAGGGTTGTTTTAATTTAATGCTGGGTCAAATGCTGGCAAATAAAGGGTTGTTTGTTTTAATTTAACACTGGCTCAAGTACTAGCAAATATAGGGTTGTTTTAATTCTACGCTAGGTTAAATGCTGGCAAAAATAGGGTTGATTTAATTTAATGTTGGGTCAAATACTGGCAAATATAGGGTTGTTTGTTTTAATTTAACACTGGCTCAAGTACTGGCAAATATAGGGTTGTTTTAATTCTACGCTAGGTTAAATGCTGGCAAATATAGGGTTTTTTGTTTTAATTCAATGCTGGATCAAATACTGGCAAAAATAGGGTTGTTATAATTAAACACTGTGTCAAATACTGCCATATATAGGGTTGTTTTAATTCATCTCTGGGTCAAAAACTGGCAAATATAGTGTTGTTTGTTTTAATTCATCTCTGAGTCAAATACTGGCAAATGTAGGGCTGTTTTAATTCAACTCTGGTTCAAACACTGGCAAATGTTGTTTGTTTTAATCTAACTCTGGGTCAAATACTGCCATATATAGAGTTGTCTTAATCCAATGCAGGGTCAAACACTGGCAAATATAGAGTTGTTTGATTGAATCCAAGGCTGGGTCAAATGCTGATAATGTGGGTCAGATATGGACAAACTCAACAGCTGAGTACAACATTTTTTATTTAAACCTAATAAAAAATAACCCAACCTTGGGTTTGTGCATATTTGAAAGGACACTGGATTAAAACCACCCAGTATTTTAAGTGTATATTGAGTGTAGTTTGATGAACGAACATTACAAATGAATTGTACATAAATATATTTTTTAAAATGTAAATAAACATCACTATCATGAATATAAATGAAGTAATCAACTATAAACATTTTATAATGTATTTGTACAGGAGGCATATTTGTTATAGCAACTTATTACTGCATTTTAATATAAGTTACCTAATGCATTAATGCATTTTCATGTTGTAATTTTAGATTAGATGAGATTTTAGTGTATTATTTGGTGCACTTCGATCTATGCTAGTGCCCCCCCCCCTACTTTTTACTATTTAATTTAATTTTATTTATTAATCTAATGTAAAACATCTGTATGTTGATGATTATTGGTGTTTATTATTATAAAATGGAGCGCTAATGCATCAAAATGCCCCAATTATAAATAATTTAGTAAAGGATAAAATGCATTTTTAATGAACTTATAATCAACATATTGGATCTGGATTAATGTATTTAAAAATGCATTAATTAAATACTAATTAATTCAGAATAAGTCTGGGTTTTTGTTCTTCATAATTATGAATTAATATTTATTGTTTATAGTATTAGGCTAATAAAGATAAAGTGTCTGACTTGTGCTGTGGTTGTGCAACACTTCTGATCGTAAACTTGTCACCATCATAATGGATCTTAGTAGAAATTAGTATTTAAAATTAAAAATATTGACATATTTGTTATTGAATGCGGTATAATTAGGCTTTTGCAATGTTTAAAATGCTTTATCTAAATTAAAAACTGGCGACGTGGTGGCGCAGTGGGTAGCACGTTGTTCGTTTGGGTTTCCTCAGGGTGTTCTGGTTGCCCCCATAAGTCCAAACCCATGTGTTACAGGTGAATTGATTATGTTAAAATTAATGTAGTGTATGTGTGTGAATAAGCGTGTATGGATGTTTTCCAGTGATGATTTGCGGCTGGTAGGGCATCTGCTGCGTAAAAACATGTGCTGGATAAGTTGGCAGTTCATTCCGCTGTGGCAACCGCACATTATTAAAGGCACTAAGCTGAAAATAAAATAACCCTGCTGAAAAATCCAGCTTAAACCAGCCTAGGCTGGTTTAAGATGGATTTTTCACCAGGGAAATTAATTAATTAAAAATATGCACTTAAGCTTTTAGTTGTTTCTTTGCATCTGCATCTGCTGGACATTGTGACTGTCCTCATGTGTAATGCAGAAGTGTTGCGCTCCTGCTGTGAGTACTGTAGTAAACCACACATGTCTGCAGTGAGTAATGCTGCTGTTTTCTCTCAGGAGTCGGGTCTGAGTCTGCTGATGCTGGCGGTGCGGGAGAGCCGTCTGTCAGTCCTCGACAGGTTACTGGAGCTCGGGGCTAATCCAAGCGACAAAACCAAGGTAGGAGTTTCCCAACATCTGGAATAGAGTCTTACAGTTGACAAAAACTCCCACAGAGGCTGCACGATGACGCTTTTAATGGAAACGCTTCAGTGGATTTGAGGCTGTTATATATTCTAAAATCACATTTAGATCTTTTATGAAACTCTAGAAGACGAACACGGGGAATTACTGTGATCTTTTTTTAATCAGAGAAGGCAAATATCTCCATTTGTCCTCTAACTGGATTACATTGCAGTCCTGGTGAAAGAGTAGATAAAAAGTGGAGTTGATATTAAATATATCCCATTTCCTCTGGCTGGATAAGGATATTTCAGATCAGAACGAGTCACTCTGGATAAAAGTGTCTGTAAAATGCATAAATGTTCAAATCTGACCATATCTCTGGGTTATTATTGCTGTAAAGCAGCAGTATTAATCTGAGTAACATTAAACAAGCAACACTGAAGTGCATTGACAGGTTTTAGAGTGGTTGAATGCATTGAATGTCACAGCATGAACTTTTATTATAGAGTTTAATCCTTTTTGGGTGTGATTATAGTAGTTTTCATTAGTGGCAATATTTACTAGTAATATATATGTCTATATCCGAAAACAATAAAACATTAATTCTGTCTAAAATGTGCCAGAAAACTAGTATGTTTTTAAGATTTTTGGCTTTTGTAGGCTAAATGTGCAATTTTGGTGACTGTCACTTTAAATTCAAATAAGGTAGTGCTCTTTTCAGAAGAGGGCGGAGCTACAAACGCCTGTGTGTCAGCATAGTGGCAGATTCAAAAACGAGACTGATGTACTATGCTAATGAAGGAGAGCTGGTCACTAGTGGGCGGGGCTTTCATCCCTCTGAAGACACATACAGAGAAAAAATGTCAATCAAAGTGTTTCTGCAGACAATTAATAATTAATAACATACATTAATATAACGTGAGACTGAAACATTATAAAAATCTTTTTAATAACGTTATTGTAACCAAAAAATAATGTTAATATGTCATCTAAAAAACTGGATATTTTGAAAGTTTATTAAAATAATTGGGAATATTAAGGAAACGTTTGTCGATGTATAGCAGGTGTTGTGTGTGTATGTCTGTGTACGCTACTTGGCTGCAGTAATATCTGGATTTGTCGTAAGCTGCGTTTTATTGCCGTGTTGTCTTGTAAGCCTCATTGGTGCATTTCATCAGGTTTGTTTTCAGTGGCGAGTCGACAGCAAACTGTTTTGTCTGTATTTGAGTTTCTCGAAAAACCCACGAGGACTGGAGTCTGCTCCACATCACATGTATTGAATTACTCTACAGATTTTCTGCTGGTGAAATACAGCTCTTGGACTGTGTGTGTGGTGCATAACGTGTGAATGGATCACTCTCGGGGTGAGGGCGTCTGCCAGTTATCCATCAAAAGCAGCAGAAGAAAAGTGATTGAGTAAAGATTCCTGTGTGTAAAATCTTCCATCCATCATCGCTGGTGTCTGGACGGCTCAGTGCTTTGTGTTCGGGGGGTTTTCAGGTGTTTAAAACTGGGCTTCAGTGTCTTTGTGGTTTTAGGAGATTCCTTAACTAAACTTCCTGGAAAGTATGAGGTACATTGTAAAACATGTTTCTCCAAGTGACATCCTTTTGCCTGTTCAGTTTGAATTAATTTTCTTATTAGAGGCTGCATCTCAATCAGCACTCTAGCTCCCGAGGTTGTTCATCTGTAGGTCGTGTGCATGAATTCGGACATTAGTAAGAGCACTGATGAGCACAATCAATCAGCCAATCAACCAACCAACAAATCAATCAATCAATGAACGAATCAACCAACCAGTAAATCAATCAATCAATCAAGCCAACCAGCTATCCAACAAATTAACTAACAAATAAATCAATAAATCAACCAACCAACAAATCAATCAACAAATCAATCAACAAATCAATCAATCAATCAATCAATCAATCAATCAATCAATCAATCAATCAATCAATCAATCAATCAATCAATCAATCAATCAATCAATCAATCAATCAATCAATCAACCAACCAACCAACCAACCAACCAACAAATCAATCAATCAATCAACCAACAAATCAACCAACAACCAATCAACCAACCAATCAATAAATCTACCAACGTCTATCAATCAAATCAATCAATCAATTAATCAATCAATCAACCAACCAACCAACCAACCAACCAACCAACAAATCAATCAATCAACCAACAAATCAATCAATCAACCAACAAATCAACCAACAACCAACCAACCAACCAATCAATAAATCTACCAACGTCTATCAATCAAATCAATCAATCAATCAATCAATCAATCAATCAATCAATCAATCAATCAATCAATCAATCAATCAATCCAACCAACAATCCAACCAATTAACTAACAAATCAATCAAGCCAACCAACCATCAATCAATCAATCAATCAATCAGTCAATCAATCAATCAATCAATCAATCAATCAATCAATCAATCAACCACCAAACAAATCAACCAATCAACAAATTAATTAACTAATTAACCAATTAATCAACCAACTGTACAGTCAGCAAACCAATTAACCAGTCAATCAATCAACCAGTCAATGAATTACTCAATTATTCAATCAATAAATCAATCAATCAATCAACCCACCAATTAACCAACCAACCAACCAATCAACAAACATCAATCGACCAACAAATCAACCAATCAACCGACCAACCAAAAAATAAAATCAATCAACCAATTAGCCAGCCAACCAATAAGCCAATCAATCAATCAACCCACCAATTAACCAGCCAACCAATCAACAAACATCAACCGACCAACAAATCAACCAACCAACCAATCAACAAACCAACCAACAAATCAACCAATTAATAATTCCCAACCAACCAACCAATCAACCAATCAATTAATCAACCAATCAATCAATCAACTAATAAAAAAATACATATTAAAAATGCTAAATTTGGGGTTACATTTTTTCAAATATATAAAAAAAAGTATCTATCTTTATTAATTTGAAGAGAACATGCCATCCATGGCTGCATCTGAAACCGCATTCTTCCACACTATATAGTTCCCTATAGTTAGCATGTTCCCTACTGTAAACGGATGATATTGTAGTCCTGGTTAACATAAAGTTTGGCACAGACATTTCCAACAGCAGAATCTAAACTGAGGGAACAGTGTGAATCTGGAAGTGTGTTGTTATGTGTGCAGACGAGCTGCTTTGAGTTGTAGCCTGCTGGTTTGTGTGTTTATTTGACGGGACGACGGTTAGCATCCTTCTTTACTTGAAAGCTTACGAGATCCTTGCTCATTCGGTAGCTCTTGGAGATCCTGCAGGAATGCCTGTCCAGCTGTGTGTGTGTGTGTGTGTGTGTGTGTGTGTGTGTGTGTGTGTGTGTGTGTGTGTGTGTGTGTGTGTGTGTGTGTGAGTGTGTGTGTGTCCTTGAATAACCGCCATTAGCATTATAATCTTGCTCTTCAGCAACTTCAAACCGGGAGAAAAGAAAATGAGCTCATGTAAACACGGGAGACACAATTCGACAACATTTCAAGGATGATCAACACAAGGTTTTCCACACAAATTAACTTCATACCACTGCATTTAAGAGTTTTATTTACTTATGTTTTTGTTTTGTTTTTTACTTTTTTTACATTGTTTTTTTTTTTTTTTTTTAATTTACTAATCCTAAAACTCTTTCAAACCTCACTATAAAACATTAAGGTTATTGGTGCATGTTTAAAAAAAAACTATACTATTACTAAAGTCATTTACTGTTCTTAAAATTTTCATATTTAGTTCAAATTCTATATTCTATATATATATATATATATATATATACACTCACCGGCCACTTTATTAGGTACACCTTACTAGTACTCCTTTTGCTTTCAGAACTGCCTTAATCTTTCATGGCAGAGATTCAACAAGCTACTGGAAATATTCCTCAGAGATTTTGCTTCACATTGACATGATAGCATCACACAGTTGCTGCAGATTTGTCAACTGCACATCCATGAAGCCAATCTCCCGTTCCACCACATCCCAAAGCTGCTCTATTAGATTGAGATCTGGTGACTGTGGAGGCCATTTGAAGGGTGTGCTTTGACATGCTGCGTTATCCTGCTGCCATCAGAAGATGGAGACACTGTGGTCATAAATAGATGGATATGGTCAGCAGCAATACTCAGGTAGGCTGCGGCATCGACACCATGCTCAATTGGTACTAATGAGCCCAAAGTGTGCCAAGAAAATCTCCCCCACACCATTACACCACCACCACCAGCCTGAACCGCTGATACAAGGCAGGATGATCCATGCTTTCATGTTGTTGAGGCCAAATTCTGACCCGACCATCCGAATGTGCAGCAGAAATGGAGACTCATCAGAGCAGGCAACGTTTCTCCAATCTTCTATTGTCCAGTTTTGGTGAGTCTGTGTGAATTGTAGCCTCAGTTTCCTGTTCTTAGCTGACAGGAGCGGCACCCGGTGTGCTCTTCTGCTGCTGTAGCCCATCCGCCTCAAGGTTGGCCGTGTTGTGTGTTCAGAGATGCTCTTCTGCAGAGCTCGGTTGTAACGAGTGCTTATTTGAGTTACTGTTGCCTTTCTATCAGCTGGAACCAGTCTGGCCATTCTCCTCTGGCCTTATCAACAAGGCATTTGCGCCCACAGAACTGCCGCTCACTGGATAGTTCCTCTTTGTCGGAGCATTCTCTGTAAACCCTAGATATGGTTGTGCGTGAAAATCCCAGTAGATCAGCAGTTTCTGAAATACTCAGACCAGTCATGTTCAAAGTCACTTAAATCCCCTTTCTTCCCCATTCTGATGCTCGCTTTGTACTTCAGCAGATCGCCTTGACCATGTCTACATGCCTAAATGCATTGAGTTGCTGCCATGTGATTGGCTGATTAGAAATTTGCGTTAATAAGCAGTTGGACAGGTGTACCTAATAAAGTGGCCAGTGAGTGTAAACAATATATAATTGCTGTCATATTGCTTTCATTGTTTTTCAATATTCATCAATAAGGTCAAAGCGAAGAACAAAATTACTGTACGTTTCAATATCGTTACTGTTAGTACTGTTACTGTTAGTAAAGAGCTGCTCCTCCCTTCATCTCTCTATCTGGAAAACAGCATAGTTTTTTTTTTTTTTTTTTTAAATATGCCTACAATTTTATAACACCAACCCAAATGCTTTAAGTTTAATCTTATTTAAAAGAGAAGCATTTTAATAATCATGACTTGGGGCAACATGGTGGCTCAGTGGTTAGCTCTGTAGCCTAACAGCAAGAAGGTCTCTGGTTTGAGCTCCCGCTGGCTCAGTTGGCATTTCTGTGTGGAGTTTGCATGGTGTCCTCATGTTGGTGTGAGTTTCTTCCGAGTGCTCCGGTTTCCCCCACAGTCCAAACACATGCACCATAGGCAAATTGAGGATCTAAATTAGTTGTAGTGAATGTGTGGGTGTTTCCAGGCGTGGTTGGGCATCCGCTGTGTAAAATATATGCTGAATAAGTTGGCGGTTCATTACGCTGTGGCGAAGGTAAACAAATGAATGTCTTGTGTCTCTGTTTTGACTAGTTAAAGATCAGTCATGATCAGGCATTTCATAATAATAGCTATAATTATTGAATGCTGTTGTTGTTGTTGTTGTTATTCAGGATGGCAGATCAGCTTTACACATCGCCGCTGCTCACTCCAAAGACGAGATCGTCAAACTGCTGGTCAGAAAAACTGACCCCAATTCACCAGCAGGGGTGAGACCTTCACCTTCATCACACTGACTGATCAAATAAGTATAATCTATAATCTTCCCATCCCGGTTTTGTTCCTGTGTTCAGTTCCATGTTTGTATTTGTCATTCCCTGTTATTTGAGTTGCCCTCGTCAGACCATGTCCATACTAATACATGTTCACTGAAAAACGCATATTTTTGTGTTTATATCTATGTGTTAAGTTATAAACGCATATAACTTCCTTTCAGCCTTCTGTCCATATCAAGTCACCGTTTTTCGGTTGTTTCAATCTTATTAGTGTGGATGACCATTTTGCAGAAAGAATTGATAGTGATAGTGTGGACATGTGGCATTTTTAGATGAAAACGTCATTTTTAAGTATATTCAGATTAATTTAGACGCAAATAAACTCAATTCAATTCAATTCAGTTGTTTATTGTTTCCCTGTACAATGAAATTCTTACTCTGTCGTCCACAGTGAAGTCATGCACACAACATACACATAAATACACATATATACACAGAAGTGTCTGAAGTATAATTATGAAATGTAAATATATAAATATCTATGAAAGTAAACAGTATATAATACTGATTGTGGAGTAATGAAAACAGATGTAAACAACGTATAGTGGTTCTTAAAAACCTATGTTGTTTAGTCTTCACGCACTCGTCATTTCATTTAACTTATATATATATATATATATATTAGCCCCCCTTTGATTTCTTTTTTGATTTTTTAAATATTTCCCAAATTATGTTAAACAGATTCAGGAAATTTTCACCGTATGTCTGATAATATTTTTTCTTCTGGAGAAAGTCTTATTTGTTTTATTTCGGCTAGAATAAAAGCAGTTTTTAATAATAATAATAATAAAAAAAAACATTTTAAGGTCAATATTATTAGCCCCTTAAGCAATATATTTTTCAATAGTCTACAGAACAAACCATCATTATAAAATAACTTGTCTAACTACCCTAACCTGCCTAGTTAACCAAGTTAAGCCTTTAAATGTCACTTTAAGCACTTTATTTATATTTATATATATATATATATATATACACACACACACACACACACACAGTTGAAATCAGACCTATATATATATTTATTCATTTTCTGTTTAAAGGCAAGGCAAGTTTGTTTATATAGCACATTTCATACACAGTGGCAATTGAAAGTGCTTTACATAAACCGGAACAAAAGAGACAAGTGTATAAGAAAATAAAAACAAAGAATAAAAATGACTAAAAACAGATTAAAATGTGTTAAAGCAGGTTATAAAATAATGAAAAAGTAAAGAAAGACATAATAGTGCGATCAATTAAGCAATAATATGTGGTAGTGGGTCAGTAAATTCCATCTGAAGTAAATGCATCTTAATTTAAGACTGTTCAGTATTTTAAACTGGACAACAAGACACAAATGTGAAGTAAGATTATTTTTAATTTTCTTTGAGTAAACATTGGACATTAATAATAATAAATTACATACGGCATGACAGTGAAACAATCTAAGGAGACGACTTTTCACTGAATTCTGAATGATCGTGACCAATGAGACGTGTCTGAAAGCATTTCCTGTGTGTTCAGGAAATGAGCTTAGAAAACATGCAGCTGATTATGTTTACATTCTCCATTTGAGTGTTTGTGTTGTGATGTGGCAGTTCCGGAAACACTTTACAGTTGTATTCCAGACGTTAACGCATTAATTAGTTAACATGAGCACTGGAAAATTTTTTAGGTTCTAAAAATAATGTAATAATTTTATTCTCACATTAATGCAGCCCAATGATCAGCTGCCTCTGCATTACGCTGCATCTCGATCCACCGGAGGCCTCGCTGTGGTGCAAACCCTGCTCAAGTTCAGCAGTAAAGACGCTCGACTGACACCTGACAAGGTACAAACACTTCTGTGTCCTTTCTATTATGCCTTTTTTACAAAATGATGTCTCTAGAGGTGTGTGTGTGTGTGTAGTTTCAGCTCAAAATACCACACTGATAATGTTCTATAACTCTCTGAATCTGACCCTTTTAGGCTTTGACCCTAATCATGTGGTGTTTTTGTGACTGTCGCTTTAAATGCAAATGAGATTGTGATCTTTATAGAAGAGGGCGGAGCTAAGAATGCCTGTGTGTCAGCTTAGTAGCAGATTCAAAAACAAAAGTAACGTCATATGCTAATGAGGGAGAGATGGTCACTAGTGGGCGGGGCTTTCCTCCTCTGATGACATCATACAAAGGGAGAATGTCAATCAAAGTGTTTTTGTAGACTGTTTATATCAAGTCTGATTATAACAAATACAATTAATTCATGTTTACCATTAGAGGCTGGAGATATTCACACACTGCTGACACACACCTGTGTATAACCCCCTTATAAAACTGATTTCTGCAGAAACATTTAATATCAGCAATTTATAATTTAATAAAAACACTAAATGAAAATCTTATAGTTTCTCTCAAGGAATCTTGGGGAAATGACCTTGGTGTTGATATTACGGAAGAACAATGGGAGGATATTTTAAAGACGGTCCACTCCTCTTCTATATGCGCCAGACATGGCCTTATGCAGTGTAAGGTGCTCCATAGAGCTCATTTAACCAATGCCAAATTAGCCAAATTTTTCCCTGATAGAAGTGATGCCTGTCATGGTTGTAAGCATTGTCCTGCCAATCTTCTCCATATGTTCTGGAGTTGTCCCCAATTGAAAAACCTCTGGTGTTTTTGACACACTTAATAAATCTGTTAGCATAAATCTAGACCCTAACCCCTTGACAGCTCGTTGTGGTATCTCAGAGAGAGCTGACTTGACTGTTGCATCTCGCCAGGTTATTTCTATTTCTACTCTTTTAGCTAGACGAGCCATTCTTATCAAATGAAAACTGGTGATTCCTCCATTAAATGACATGTGGATGCGAGAAATCTTTAGTTACATAAAACTTGAGAAATTAAGATGTTTACTTGCAGGAGCTGTTAAATATTTTTACAAGACCTGGAACCCTGTTTTAGACGATATCAAAGGCTTACCCTGCTCAGTTGATATCAGATCTAATACACAGTAAATAATTGGAAAGAGAAAATATTGACTCCTTAATGTGATTTGTTTATTTATTTATTTATTTATTTATTTATTTATTTATTTATTTATTTATTTATTGCTCTTATCGTAAAGTTGATCATTTATTATTATTATCTTTTTTAAAAAATTTCTTTGAATTTATTTTTTATTTTTTAATTAATTAATTTATTTATTTATTTTTTCAGAGGATGTTTGTTTATTTTTAGGGGATAGTGGTAAAATAAGAAAAATAAGGCAATCTGTAGTTTTTCCTATGTTGTATTGTATCCTTTGATGTATTGTCTTGTTAAACACCAATAAAAAAATATATTAAAAAAAGGAGGCGTGGCCCCTAACCATAACAGTCATTGGGTGATGAGCAAATGTACTAAATTGTATGAATTAGATCGTACGAATTCATACGAATTAGCCACTAAATCAAAAAGTTACGAATTCCTGTGAGATTGCGTTGGAAATATTTAACACACACACACACACACACACACACACACACACAGACACACACACACGCACACACACGCACACACACACACACACACACACACACACGCACACACACACACATATAAGTTTGACTACACTGAGCTCAATCAGTTCAACCCATAATGTGATGTTGCTCTGTACTTTTAATTACTGCTATTTTATTGTTGTAAAATGTAATATTCTCCACTTTGAGATGTTAAATATTTTCCTCAATCCAGAACGGCTGTCTTCCGCTGCTGCTGGCTGCCGAAGCCGGGAATGTTGGAATTGTTCGGGAGCTACTCTCCAGCCAATCAGAGCCTCAGATCAGAGCTGCAAAGACCGTAAGAGTCACATGACCTCACTGATATTATTATTGGCTCTCTTTAAATCATCAAATACATGAGGTGGAGTCGTTTGGATTGAGCTACATGTTACTGTATGTCTAATTCTCTATTTGCGGAGATAATTATGGTTTAATGTAATGCCATTTTCTTCAGATGAATGGATCTTAAAGTGGAAACTCTGATCACTGATCGGCAATAATGCAGATTTAGTGTTTAAGTGGAACGCTTTTCTTAAACCCAAAGCACTGCAGTACAAAAACATTTATTTTTGTGTTCATTTTTCCATTTGATCATTTTTAATTGGTACTATGTGAAGATTTATCTTGATTATTTGGGTCTAAAATAAATGTTTAATAAATGACGTTCTTTTATGGCTTTTTTACATATTAGTGGCATAAAAAAATATGTGTAAACTATTCTTGCTCACAGTCTGATTACAGCATATCAATTAAGCTATTTAAAAAAAAAACATTAGAATTGATTCATTCATCCATTCATTTTCTTGTCTGTTTAGTCCCTTTATTAATCTATGGTCACCACAGCAGACTGAACCGCCAACTTATCCAGCACGTTTTTACACAGCGGATGCCCTTCCAGCTGCAACCCATCTCTGGGAAACATCCACACACGCTTATTCACACTCATACATTACAGACAATTTAGCCTACCCAATTCAGTACCGCATGTCTTTGGACTGTGGGGGAAACCGGAGCACTCGGAGGAACGCGAACGCAGGGAGATAATTATTATTATTGTTATTTTTATTATTGTTGTTGTTGTTGTTGTTTTTATTATTATTATTACTATTAGTAGTAGTTATTATTATTATTATTATTATTATTATTATTATTATTATTATTATTATTATTATTAATATTATTATTATTAATAATATAAGTAACATAAAATAAACCATAAAATATAATATGAAAAATTATGTAGAAAATGACTAAAAACAGATTAAAAAGTGTTAAAACAGGTTTAAAATGAATGTAAAAAGAAAAGGAAAGGCACAAACCTTTTAATCTTTCAAACTTAAAAAAGCACAAAAAGAAAGTGTTTATTCTATTATTATTTATTCTATGTTTATTAAGTAATTAAAAGCTCATTCATACTCATTAAAAGTCTGATATTGTTGATTAAAATCCATTAATAACTTTTTCATGAAATTCCTGTATTATTGCTTTTTATTACGAAAGATTTTTTATAATATAATATTTTTTTTGCCAAATCAAAACTCTGTGTTACAGCCAGTACAAAGGACACACTTTGACATTAAGGCTGAATAAACTTTTTTTCTTTGTTTTTGTTGTTGTTGTTATAGAAATGAAACTTTTTTTTACCAAAACACATGCAACCGGCATAAACAGAATTACATTTCTTATAAAACAAGATGTTTGGAAGATCCTCCTTTTTCACTGATCCATAACATTAAACCTGGATCTGGTGAATGTTGATGGACAGTTGTTTTAAAACAATATTGAACCCGATTTGTGTCTTAGCTTGATTTGTATGAAGCATCTGGTTTGTGTTCTGATGGCTGGATTTTGTTTGCAGGCAAACGGTGACACTGTGCTTCCATAGCAACATTAGAATCACCACAACAAATGAATTACTTTAGTTGTTGGGTTACCATAGCAACTATAGAATCACCACAACAAATGAATTACTTTAGTTGTTGTGTTACCATAGCAACTATAGAATCACCACAACAAATAAATTACTTTAGTTGTTGTGTTACCATAGCAACTATAGAATCACCACAACAAATGAATTACTTTAGTTGTTGTGTTACCATAGCAACTGTAGAATCACCACAACAAATTAATTACTTTAGTTGTTGTGTTACCATAGCAACTATAGAATCACCACAACAAATAAATTACTTTAGTTGTTGTGTTACCATAGCAACTATAGAATCACCACAACAAATGAATTACTTTAGTTGTTGTGTTACTATAGCAACTATAGAATCACCACAACAAATGAATTACTTTAGTTGTTGTGTTACTATAGCAACTATAGAATCACCACAACAAATGAATTACTTTAGTTGTTGTGTTACCATAGCAACTATAGAATCACCACAACAAATGAATTACTTTAGTTGTTGTGTTACTATAGCAACTATAGAATCACCAACAAAGATGAATTACTTTAGTTGTTGTGTTACCATAGCAACTATAGAATCACCACAACAAATGAATTACTTTAGTTGTTGTGTTACTATAGCAACTATAGAATCACCACAACAAATGAATTACTTTAGTTGTTGTGTTACTATAGCAACTATAGAATCACCACAACAAATAAATTACTTTAGTTGTTGTGTTACCATAGCAACTATAGAATCACCACAACAAATGAATTACTTTAGTTGTTGTGTTACTATAGCAACTATAGAATCACCAACAAAGATGAATTACTTTAGTTGTTGTGTTACCATAGCAACTATAGAATCACCACAACAAATGAATTACTTTAGTTGTTGTGTTACTATAGCAACTATAGAATCACCACAACAAATAAATTACTTTAGTTGTTGTGTTACCATAGCAACTGTAGAATCACCACAACAAATGAATTACTTTAGTTGTTGTGTTACTATAGCAACTATAGAATCACCACAACAAATAAATTACTTTAGTTGTTGTGTTACCATAGCAACTATAGAATCACCACAACAAATGAATTACTTTAGTTGTTGTGTTACTATAGCAACTATAGAATCACCACAACAAATAAATTACTTTAGTTGTTGTGTTACCATAGCAACTGTAGAATCACCACAACAAATGAATTACTTTAGTTGTTGTGTTACTATAGCAACTATAGAATCACCACAACAAATGAATTACTTTAGTTGTTGTGTTACCATAGCAACTGTAGAATCACCACAACAAATGAATTACTTTAGTTGTTGTGTTACTATAGCAACTATAGAATCACCAACAAAGATGAATTACTTTTGTTGTTGTGTTACCATAGCAACTATAGAATCACCACAACAAATGAATTACTTTAGTTGTTGTGTTACCATAGCAACTATAGAATCACCACAACAAATGAATTACTTTAGTTGTTGTGTTACCATAGCAACTGTAGAATCACCACAACAAATGAATTACTTTAGTTGTTGTGTTACCATAGCAACTATAGAATCACCAACAAAGATGAATTACTTTAGTTGTTGTGTTACCATAGCAACTGTAGAATCACAACATTTACATTTACATTTAGTCATTTAGCAGACGCTTTTATCCAAAGCGACTTACAAATGAGGACAAGGAAGCAATTTACACAACTACAACAGATTAATTACTGTAATTGTTGTTACCCTAGCAAATATAGAATGACAAAAGATAAGTTACTTTAGTCATTGTGTTACCATAGCAACTATAGAATCACCCCAGTTGACTGGATCTGGTTTGTGTTCTGATGGCTGGACTGTGTTTGCAGGCAAATGGAGACACAGCGCTTCACATCTGCTGCAGACGGAGAGATGTAGAGATGGCCAAAATCCTGGTGGAGTTCGGGGCCAATCCAGATTCTCAGAATGTAAGCAAAACGCTGAAACAAAGACACTTTCAGAACGCTTATCTGGTGTTTATATCGCCTGTGCTTTGAGTCAATGTCCTGATGCGCCTTATAAATTTTATTGAGCTTTCATTTGTGCAAAAGTCAAAAATTTGTAGATAGTTTGTGAGCGTGCCTATCTGTCTGTAGTATTTTCTCCTGTGAAGTATATTTCACACCCAGATTACCGCATGTGTTTTGCTGTATTTACCAAAACAGTTGTAGAGCAGATGAAGTCAGACGTGAGCAGAGTAATGGAGTAGATGTGATCTCACACAGTTGTACACACAGTTAATGGACAGGAGTCAGATAATGGATTTTGGAGGCGTTTTGAGGAAGGAACAGGCAGATTTTTGTACTCGAGGGCATTGTTGACATTCATCGGCCCTTTTGATTGCTCACAATATCTGTCTCCATGTTAATGGTGCTCTCTTCCCCCCGTCTGGAGGAAAACAGTCCATCAGTGTCTCCAAAACATCCGTCACCATTATCCCTGTAGATTCAGCTCAGACAGATCCTGCTCTACTACAGTGTCACTTACAGTATGTGTGCAATTATAGCATTTATTATAAATATGTGGCCTATTATTTTTAGCCTCTCAAATATAGTTTTTTTGTTAACAATATAGTCTTTTTCTTATTTGCTTCTTTAAATGTTAATATATATATATATATATATATATATATATATGTATATATGTATATGTGTGTGTGTGTTTTCAGTTTACCAGAAAGGATTCTTCAAGAAAATATCTAAATAAAATATTTTTAAAATGTTTAATTTAAAATTTGCAGTATATAATTTTATGTCAAAATTATATTTTTTATTAATATAAAATTAATTTGCAGTAATCTAATCAAAATGCAATAATAACAATTTATTCGATTCATTTGCTAGTGTTACAAATTATACATTTTTCAAATTCGATTTTTTTAATTTAAATTTTAAGCTGTTATGGCAAATCACCATCATCGTGGATTTTTTTTTGCTGCTATTGACAGCGGAATTCTTAATAAATACATACTACTGCCAAACATTAAAGATGAAAAACCAAAAACACAATGTTGGTTATAATAAATGTGGTAATTTAAAAAATATATATATATGTTATTATATAAATTTTTTTTTTTTAAATATTAGTAATTTTTATCTTAATTTTGAAGTTTATTACCTAATTATTTGTTTTGATTTTTGTTTCTATATTTGTTTCTATCTTGTTTCTATACACACACACACACACACACACACACACACACACACACACACACACACACACACACTCAACGGCCACTTTATTAGGTACACCTTACTAGTAACTACTGTAGTTGGACCCCTTTTGCCTTCAGAACCGCCTTAATCTTGTGTGGCAGAGATTCAACAAGCTACTGGAAATATTCCTCAGAGATTTTGCTCCATATTGACATGATAGCATCACACAGTTGCTGCAGATTTGTCGGCTGCACATCCATGATGCCAATCTCCCGTTCCACCACATCCCTAAGCTGCTCTATTGGATTGAGCTCTGGTGACTGTGGAGGCCATTTGAGTACAGTGAACTCATCGTCATGTTCAAGAAACCAGTCTGAGATGATTGAGCTTTATGACATGATGCGTTATCCTGCTGCCATCAGAAGATGGAGACACTGTGCTCATAAAGGGATGGACATGGTCAGCAGCAATACTCAGGTAGTCTGTGGCGTTGATGCTCAATTGGTACTAATGGACCCAAAGAAAATCTCCCCCACACCATTACACCACCACCACCAGCCTGAACCGCTGATACAAGGCAGGATGATCCATGCTCTCATTGTTGAGGCCAAATTCTGACTCCACATCTCTAACAACCATACCTCTAAATGATTATTATAGTTAATTTTTTGGCATTCGTTTTAAGTACTTAAACTAAATGAAAATTCACAATGTGGCCTTGATGTTGTTTTGTAAGTTAGTAATCTGTTATTTTATATAAGTGTACGCAGTTTTCCAATGCCAGTCTTGTTTTATTAGTGTAGTTTTCTGTGTGAACCTTGCACTGGGCTGAATTGTGTGTAGATCAGTATATGTGAACAGAAGAGTTCTCTGCCAGCTTGTGTTTCAGTGGGATGTTTAAGTGCTTCTGATCAGTTATTCGTCTCTCAGTATTCATCAGAGAGTCTCACACATTATTTACAGCTGACAGATCAATGCAGATGAATACAGATGCTGTAAGTGTGTGGTTTGTGTGTGTTGTTTGTGGACAGGATGAAGGTCAGACTCCTCTACACATCGCAGCTCATGAAGGAGACGAGAACATGCTGAAGTTTCTGTATCTCTGCAAGGCCAATGCTAACATCTCTGACAAGGTGAGACTGTTATTAGCAGAGATTCACAGATGTTTCCCTGATTACGTCTACAGGTGAAGTCTGAATTATTCGCCCTTCTGTGAATGTTCAATGTTCAAATATTTCCCAAATGATGGAGGTTTGCAAACCCCAACCTTCAAAAGTGTCTATAAAATGTGTCTGTCAGCGCAGTGTTTTGTTAACAGAGTTGTGTGTTTGTGTGTCAGATGGACAGATCTCCTCTCCACATCGCAGCAGAGCGGGGACACACCAATGTAGTGGAGATCCTCACCGAGAAATTCAGGTCCTGTGTGTTAGCAAGAACCAAGGTGACTCGCTCACATACAGTATCATACAGTACTGTTGAGATATCTACACACACACACACTCTAACATTAACTAAAAACAAACACGCCCATAACCCAACAAGACCACTCCTCTTTTTGTTATCTCTGCTATTGTTGCTAGACACGCCCCTTGCTGCTGATTAGCTGCAAGTGTGTTGAAAACAAGCACCCATAAACTAAACAAGACCACGCCTTTTTTCATGACTCTACTATTGTTGCTTGACACGCCCCTTACTGCTGATTGGCTGTAAATTGTTTTTAAAAACAAATGCCCTTGACCAAACAAGACCACGCCTCCTTTTCATAACTCTGCTATTGTTGCTAGACACGCCCCTTACTGCTGATTGGGTGTAAATTGTTGTAAACAAATGCCTGATTGGGTGTAAACAAATGCCCATAACCAAACAAGACCACGCCCCATTTGTTATCACCACTATTTTTAGTAGACACACAACTTACTGCAAATTAAAAAAAAACAATTGTCCGTAAGCCAATGAGACCACGCCCCTTTTTCTATTTCTGCGATTGTTGCTAGACACGCACCTTAATGCTGATTGGCTGTAAATCGTTTTTAAAAACAAATGCCCATGACCAAACGATACCACGATTCTTTTTCATAACTCTGCTATTGTTGCTAGACACGCCCCCTATTGCTGATTGGCTGTAAATTGTTTTTAAAAACAAATGCCCATGACCAAACGATACCACGCCTCTTTTTCATAACTCTGCTATTGTTGCTAGACACGCCCCCTATTGCTGATTGGCTGTAAATTGTTTTTAAAAACAAATGCCCATAATTAAACAAGACCACGCCTCTTTTTCATAACTCTGCTATTGTTGCTAGACACGCCCCTTACTGCTGATTGGCTGTAAATTGTTTTTAAAAACAAATGCCCATAATTAAACAAGACCACGCCTCTTTTTCATAACTCTGCTATTGTTGCTAGACACGCCCCTTACTGCTGATTGGCTGTAAATTGTTTTTAAAAACAAATGCCCATGACCAAACGATACCACGCCTCTTTTTCATAACTCTGCTATTGTTGCTAGACACGCCCCCTTACTGCTGATTGGTTGTAAATTGTTTTTAAAAACAAATGCCCATGACCAAACGAGACCACGCCTCTTTTTCATAACTCTGCTATTGTTGCTAGACACGTCCCCTTACTGCTGATTGGCTGTAAATTGTTTTTAAAAACAAATGCCCATAATTAAACAAGACCACGCCTCTTTTTCATAACTCTGCTATTGTTAGACACTCCCCTTACTGCTGATTGGCTGTAAATTGTTTTTAAAAACAAATGCCCATGACCAAACGAGACCACGCCTTTATTCATGACTCTGCTATTGTTGTTAGACACGCCCCTTACTGCTGATTGGCTGTAAATTGTTTTTAAAAACAAATGCCCATGACCAAACGAGACCACACCTTTATTCATGACTCTGCTATTGTTGCTAGACACGCCCCTTACTGCTGATTGGTTGTAAATTGTTTTTAAAAACAAATGCCCATAATTAAACAAGACCACGCCTCTTTTTCATAACTCTGCTATTGTTGCTAGACACGCCCCCTTACTGCTGATTGGCTGTAAATTGTTTTTAAAAACAAATGCCCATAATTAAACAAGACCACGCCTCTTTTTCATAACTCTGCTATTGTTAGACACTCCCCTTACTGCTGATTGGCTGTAAATTGTTTTTAAAAACAAATGCCCATAATTAAACAAGACCACGCCTCTTTTTCATAACTCTGCTATTGTTAGACACGCCCCTTACTGCTGATTGGCTGTAAATTGTTTTTAAAAACAAATGCCCATGACCAAACGAGACCACACCTTTTTTCATGACTCTGCTATTGTTGCTAGACACGCCCCTTACTGCTGATTGGCTACCGGTGTGTTTAAAGACTTTCAAATATTGCTCAGTGCACCTTTTAAAGTAATAATTCACTCAAAAATTAAAATGAACACATTATTTGTTGAGCCATAAGTGATTTCCAGCTTTCTTAAGTCTATTTTTTTAATAGTTTGTTTATTCTGCTGAAAATAAAAGAAGATACTTTGAAGAATGATGGAAACCAGTTGCCATAATTAAAAACACTGTCTCCATAAATGGCCACTGGTTTCCAACATTGTTCAAAATATCATTGTGTTAAGCAGCAGAAAAAAAAGAAACTAAAACAGGATTGGAAACAAGCAGAGGGTGAGTAAAGGATGACTGAATTTTCATTTTTGGGTGCACTATGACTTTAAGGTTTCTTTAAGTCTTCTGAACGCGTGATATCTGTGTGTTGTACACTTCTCTGCTGATCTGGGTTCAGGATGGAAACACTCTCCTGCACATCGCGTCTCAGTGCGGTCATCCCACCACTGCTCTCAGCTTCCTGAGGAAGGGCGTCCCGCTGCACATGCCCAACAAGGTGATCAACACGCACATCACATCTCAACACAACAAATATATTAAGAATGATAGTTTCACGAGAATTGAAGCTGAGTGTGTGATTCAGGAGACAGAGACAGTCAAAAATAGGTATAGTGGCATTATCCAAAGTGTCAATAAATTTACAAAAAGCACCAGTTAGGCCTATTATTATACATAAAAATATTATTTTGATTTAAAGTAATTGTTTTTCATGTTTAAAATATTATTTATTCTTGCGTTTAAAGCTTTTTCAGCTTTACTTCAGTGTCTCAGAGTCATTCAGAAATTATTATTAAATGCTGGATTAATGCACAAGAACGTTTTGCAAACACGTTTTATACCATTTCAAATATATTTTTGTGCATGCTTTATATGTGCACATACGTTGTTTACCCAGAGTGTTTACATGGTCATCATACAGCAAGCAATACAACAAGCATTTCGTTTGGGCTAGCTTCTGCAGCTGGACTTTGCTTTACACTGCCCTTGATGGGTGAACATTAGCCAGTGGGGGAGTGTCTTTTGTCTCTCCAGGTGTGAATTATTTATGACTATCGTCACTCCCACGCATACAAAACAGACTGCAAAATGTAAACCATTGTAATGTTTTCTTTGAATGAGAGAACAGAATAATTTTTACATAATTGGGAAGTAAGTATTCTAGCCTACAAGACTGGTTGCTCATAACCAGGTCCATTTTTTGGACGTTATTTCAGCTACATTTATTTCTCCAAAACCTACTTACCACGCATAATATATTTTTTTTTTCTAAAAAAAAAAAAGCAAGCATGTTCATCAGTATTTCTCACATATTATTGTAGCACAGTTTGTGCTGTATACAAAAAATACATGTTGGCCAGTACTATGTAATAAGTAGCTGGAATACACACAAATGTCAGGCATGTCAAAACGTCTTATGAGCCTCAAAATCACCTCAGACCCTAAAGGGTTAAGCAATGTCTCTAGAGTGTGTGTGTGTGTGTGTGTGAATTAGCTTAAAATACCACACTAATAATGTTTAATAACTCTCTGAAACTGACCCTTTTAGGCTTTGATCCTAATTGTGGTGTTTTGGTGACTGTCGCTTTAAATGCAAATGAGATTGTGCTCTTTATAGAAGAGGGCGGAGCTACAGATGCCTGTGTGTCAGCATAGTGGCAGATTCAAAGACTAACATCATATGCTGATGAGGGAGAGATGGTCACTAGTGGGCGGGGCTTTTCCTCTGATGACATCATACAAAGGGAGAATGTCAATCAAAGTGTTTCTGTAAACTGTTTTAATCAAGTCTGATTATAAATAATAGAATTAATACATGTTTACTATTAGAAGCTGGAGATATTCACACACTGCTGACACACACCTGTGTTTACACCCCTTGGAATATCAGTGTGATGATGGTGTGTTTGTATGTGTGCTGTCAGTCTGGAGCAGTGTGTCTGCATGCGGCCGCTAAGCGCGGACACACAGCTGTAGTGAAGGCTCTCCTCCAGAAGGGGGCGCATGTGGACGCGGCGGCGCGAGACGGACAGACGGCGCTGCACATCGCGGTGGAGAACTGCAGACCGCAGGTGGTGCAGATGCTGCTGGGCTTCGGTGCGCACGTGCAGCTCAGAGGAGGAAAGGTCTGACACACACACACACACAGACACACACACACATTTGCACTGACACACAAATGATACACGCAAACACACACACACACACACACATACACAAACACAGACACACACGTACATATACAAACACACACACACACACTGAAGTGCTCACACACACAAACACATGCTCACACACATACTTCCGTGCACACACACACACGTTCACATACACTCACATGCCTTTACGCGTGTATGTGTGTGTTTATGCATGTTTGTGTATGCATGTGCTTATGTTTGTGTGTGTGTGTGTGTGTGTGTGTTTATGCATGTTTGTGTATACATGTGTTTATGCTTGCGTGTGTGTGTACAGGTGTGTGTGTGTGTGTGTGTGTGTGTTTATGCATGTTTGTGTATGCATGTGTTTATGCTTGAGTGTGTGTGTCTGTACACGGGTGTATGTGTGTGTGTTTGTGTATGCATGTGTTTATGCTCGCATCTGTGTGTCTACAGGTGTGTGTGTACAGGTGTGTGTGTGTGTGTGTGTGTGTGTGTGTGTGTGTGTGTGTACACTTGTGTGTGTGTGTGTGTGTGTGTGTGTGTGTGTGTGTTTTTATGCATGTTTGTGTATGCATGTGTTTATGCTTGAGTGTGTGTGTCTGTGTACAGGTGTGTATGTGTGTGTGTTTGTGTATGCATGTGTTTATGCTTGCATCTGTGTGTCTACAGGTGTGTGTGTACAGGTGTGTGTGTGTGTGTGTGTGTGTGTACAGTTGTGTGTGTGTGTGTGTGTGTGTGTGTGTGTGTGTGTGTGTGTGTTTTTATGCATGTTTGTGTATGCATGTGTTTATGCTTGAGTGTGTGTGTCTGTACAGGTGTGTATGTGTGTGTGTTTGTGTATGCATGTGTTTATGCTTGCATCTGTGTGTCTACAGGTGTGTGTACAGGTGTGTGTGTGTGTGTGTGTGTGTGTGTGTTTATGCATGTTTGTGTGTGCATGTGTTTATGTTTGTGGATGTGTGTGTGTTTATGCATGTGTGTGTGTATATACACGTGTGTGTTTATGCATGTTTCTATGTATGTGTGTGTTGACTCAGGCTCAGGAAACTCCTCTCCACATCTCAGCGAGGGTGAAGGAGGGTGAGCGTGCGGCAGAGATGCTGCTGAAGAGCGGAGCGGAGGTCAACGCAGAGCAGGAGGTCAGACGAGGCACTGATATTTATTAGTCTAACTGAGCTGAAGTCCCCTGTAAA